CTTTATGTCTCATTCTCTGCTCTGATCACTGATCGGTGTGTTTTAGTCAAAGTGTTCACCACTGATGTTTCTGTCTCTGCAGCAAGCTGGGGTCTGTGCTCCAACGTGCCTTCTACGGGTCCAGTGGGAGGGTGAGTCAAATGAATATACAGAGTTACTTCAGCATGAAAATGTTCTTTACTGGTGTATGATTTCTATAAGCGGGGAACTGTGGATCCTCTGAGGGGCGTTCACTTTCTCCTTGGGGGTCTGAGTCTCAGATCAGGGGAGGTCATTTCAAAGCCGTCATGTGTTCATGGTCAGGAAAGCTGAAATATTGTGGACGCTTCACAGATGATGTGCAGCGTCAGGACTAACTCAGGTCACTCTGAAATGACAGAAACTCTTCAAACCTTCAACCTCCTAACGAAGTACGAGGGAGTTAATCGATAGGTTGAAGGTTTGACCTGATTTTCAGTAAAACGTGGCGACAACTTGGCATCAGAATGAGCTCAGAATTTGATGTCTTTGTGAGGTTTTTCCTGCTTGATGTTGCTTTTATTCTACATTTTTCCAGTCAGAAAATCGTTTTTTTCCCATTATTCTGACACCACCACGCCTTTTGGACGCATGCACTCCTTAATAGTTACTTTAGGAGATCACAATCCTGGATGTGAAGTAAGAAAAATTGCATAAACGTATGTCAAAGACGGCGGTCAAAGCAACAAAGTCAGAAACTGAAAGTGAACGTTTTTCACCTTCCTCTCACTCTGTGTAACTGGACGTATTCACAGTGAAACATTTGGTGCTCGCCCTGAACATTACGGGAGTTTTGTACAAGTGTGAAAACACAAATGTATTGCTTCACACTTGCACAAAACTGAATTTTTTTCTTTTTACGTCACGTCTTACCTCAGGAGGACCCCCCCCCATCTTCTACATGCTCCCGCTGTGAGGAGCATGTGTGAACAACCAGATCAGGAGGATTTCAGGGGCAGTCCTCCTGACCTTGAGAGTATCTAGATATTTTCAGGAGTTTTGTACATGAAATGATAGCGAGCTGTCACATAATGAAGAAATAAACACTCCTCTGTGCTCAATAAGAAGCTGTAGCAGAGAAGGGGTTAGCTTAGCTTAGTTTAGCAGGAGCAGGGATGGGGTTAACTTAAATGATTTTAGCATAAAGAGTGGAAGCGTTTTCTGCAAGTGGAAGTTTAAAACACATGAAAATAAAGAGGCTTTCACTTCATATTTATATAATTTATAAAATATGAGAATAACAGCGAGTTTTCCTGATTCAGCACTAAAATCCCAGCATGCTCTGTCTGTGTGTGTGTGTGTGTATGTGTGTGTGTAATGTTTCCGGTGGTTTCTGCGCCCTCAGGTGACCCTTTTCGAGCAGAGGAACTTCGCAGGAAGGCGGCTCGACCTGAGCTCTGACTGCACCAGGCTCAGTGACAAGAACTTCCCAGAGAGATGCAACTCCGTGCAGGTGGAGAGTGGAGCGTAAGTGAACAGCACCACCTGCAGGAGAGATCAGGACACTGCATCAACAACACACGCACAGAGGTCCCACCAAGCTGTACAGAGAATTAAAGGAGGCCAAGTTTACAGCAAAATAATACACAGTTATTGTTTAGAAAACCTTAATTCAGTAGGTCTCGCGCTCTCTCTCTATGTTGATCAGCTGTTTTTAAGAGGAGTTAAACCTTAACACATTTCCATGAGCTTTGGTGGACATGGAGCATTTTTCGTTGCAGTTTGTTTATATTTACTCTTCTTAGCTGCTATGTCCATGACTCCACGTCTGCCATATTAGCTGGTTTTTAATTGTATCCACTCCTAAACTCACCTGCTGCGCTCTCATTGGCTGGAGGAAACACATCAGCTCCCAAATCAGCTGACGTCCCGAGTCAACCAGAACAAACCAGAACAGTAAAATCCAGTCAGAGGACAGAGTCTCTGCAGACACACATGTACGGGGGCCCAGATGGGACGATGGAGCAGCTTTACTTTCGGAGAAGTCTGTATTTTATTTTGAAGGAACAAGCTACTGGCTCTACCTTTTAACCTCGGAGGGTTAAGGATTTAAAGATATTCACAGGATAGATTTTCATCCTTTAAATACTTTCAGGTCAAACCTCTGGATCTGACAGCAGAGTTTCGTTCATCTTTATCTCCTCCCTGCTGTGTATGAGTCTGACTTGGACGGTTTCCTCTGTGCTCTGTTGCAGGTGGGTGGGCTACGAGCATGAGAACTTCCGGGGCCGTCAGTACCTGTGGGACATGTCCGAGCGTGGAGAGTACAACTGCTACGACAAGTGGTGCGCTCAGGCTGACCACGTCTCCTCCGTCCGCGCTGTCAAACAGGTGAAACTGGACATCCTTCTCAAAAATACACACATGATGATGACAGTGAATGAAGTTGATCGAGGTATTTAAATCTGTCGGTTATGAAGAAGTAATTCAGCACATGTGATGAGTATTAAAACAATAATACTGGTGCCAAGCCAAAGGAACATATATTAGAATTTGGAGGCAGGCGAGAAATGACAAGAAAGCATCACTTTAAAGGAGCAGTATGTAACTCTGACACCTAGTGGTTAAAATGGGTACTGCAGTCCAAATTCAAAACCTTGTAGAGAGCTGTCTCCCCTCGCCCCCTCCTCTCTAGAATCAATTCTCACGCAGGTCACCATGTGGTGGACGCTGAAGCTTCAGTGTTTATCCAGCTCTGCATCGGTCTGTAAACCTTTCTGTGTTCTAACATCTCTCCATTTTCAAAAGCATCTCCAATATTGATCCTAGTTTGAGCACGTTTCTGCTCGTGGAGCTTATTAGAAACATGCAGAGGCTTTTTAGGTCGGGTACAATCACTTCGATCTGAACCACTTCTCTTGCCTGCTTCCATCGCTGCAACACCTGTTGACCTGATAACTGCTCTCATATCTGACAAATTGAGGGGCGTCCAAAACGACCATGTGGGGGTCGCCTTAAAAGCGCCTACCTTCTCTGGTCCAAACAAATCCAGAGCATTCAGGAGCAGAATCTAAAGTTAGAAGGAGGACATACTGGCTGCTGCATTGTTGTCAGAGAAGCCAGCACTTCAACATGTTTCCATAATGTCTGATCATTTAGTAAGCTCACTTTATCATTTCACTCACTGCATATAATGTTGACTCTAGAGAGGAGGGGGGGAGACAGCTCTCTGCAATGTTTTGAATTTAGACTGCAGTACCCATTTTTAAACTCTTCATGTCAGAGTCACATATTGCTCCTTTAACTCCTAAAACAGTCTCAGCTAAGATCCGTCTTACGAAAGGATTCTAACTGCAAGTCCGGTGACAGCTCGTCAATAAGTTCAAAAAGGTCCCAATGTCGTTGCTATAGTGACGGCCTGGGTTCTGACTGCACGCCTCCTCCTGACCAGGCGTAAGATTTACTTCTGGCCTTTGAGAGAAGTGGTGCAACCAGCCCCCAGCAGAGGGTCCAACAACAACACCTTTATATTCAGAAACACTCGCTAACACTGTTTCTTTCTGTCGTGTTTTCAGGACAACAATCCTGCCAAAGCCCAGCTGTTCGAGCGAGCCGGATTCTCTGGTAAGAAGATGGAGATCCAGGACGACATCCCCAACCTGATGAGCCGCCACAGCCTCAACAGATTCGCCTCCATCCGTGTGCTGGGCGGAGCGTGAGTCTAACACTACACAATGCAGCCACAGTAGAAATGTATTCCTTTATTGCATGCTATAAGAGCGCCTATCTAACCTCCCCCTCCCTGTGTGTGTGTGCGCCCAGGTGGGTGGTGTATCAGGAGCCGAACTACAGAGGACCTCACTACATCCTGGAGAAGAAAGACTACAACAACTTCTCAGACTGGGGCAGCCAGAACAACACGGTGGGCTCCATGCGCCGAGTCCGCTTCAACTAACTCACCGACGACAATGAAACACCTGTGATGATCAGAGTCTTCAAGACGTCACACGCATCAAACCTGTCAGCTCTAAACACACACACACAACTATTTTAGTAATAAACTGTGAAAAAGACAAAAAAAAAGTCTGAGTTCATTTTTTGTTGCATAAGAGAAACGTTTTTGGAAACAGAAGTCGGAGTGTGGCGTTTCAGTTGCTGAGGTAGAAAGTGATTAGCTGCTGCTTCAAACAAAAACCATGGCAACCAATTCCAGATCTCACCAAAAAATGCATTACTCAGTCGCTGCTTGTCAACAGTTAAGGCGTGCAACAGATTGGGGCCCTGGGCCAGTGGGACGGCCCCCACCGAGAGCTGACAAGCTGCAAACAAAAGCAGTAACTCAAAATGTGAAAATTTTGCGATGACAGTAGGAAACCTCCCCAAGGGGGCCCCATCTGACAGTACTCACTCTGTGCCCCGCTAAGTGTTGCATGAGTTATTGATGTAAAGAAAGTTCGTCACCAAGGAAAATGACGAGGAATTATCACCTCAGAGTGGAAAGTGAAGAGGAGTAAGCGTTGGGACTCTAATGAGCGCTGGTTGGAGGGGCCCCCAATGAAGGTTTCCCCCCCAACAGACTCTAGAGTCACCACTGCCGTAAGCGGACCCCGCTAAAGCTGAAGGTCAGTCAGCATTTTATTTCAACCAGAAACACGAGTCACAGATAAAAGATATTACAAGCCAAGAGAGCTAAAAGATTTTATTCAGTATCAAGAACAGAGATATCAATAAGATCAAAATCCAAGAACGGAAACATCGAAATAAAATCCATGATTGAGCACAAAACTTGCTAAAAGAACATTTCTTCCAATTTGAGAGAAAACCAAATTTAAAAATGAGCCAAATGATCCTCGATGAGGTAGAGCACCGAGCGCAAATAAACGAGAAAGAACACAAGATAAATCCACGACTTCAGAAAGTTGGGTGCAAACAATCTCTGACTGGAAGCTGTGAAGCGTCTCCGGTTACTTAAATTAAAAAAATTAAAATTAAAAAAAGTAAATGAAAAATCCAAGCTGTTCAAAAAAACCATAAAGCGCAGATCCAGAACGATAAAAACATTTTATTAAAAGTAGTGAAGCTTCTCCTCAGGACGGTCGAGCTTGAATAAAGTGCGAGTAAAAATCGTCCTCATTAAAGAGGTCAGTTCAGGGTTTGAGCGCAGCGGCCGCCATGTTGGTGACGATGGACGACTTGAGCTGAGGGAGGAGGCTGATCTTCATCAGTTTGCTGCTCGAGTATTTGTTCTTCACCGCCTGCACGGGAACAAGAGACAGGCCGAGTTTAACATCCAGACTCAACGATAACGTCTGAGTGTTTGTGGTCTAAACCGTCTCACCTGGAACTTCGTCTTCCCGTCGTTCACCGTCACGATGTTCTTGGCGATGTGCTGCATGACGGGCTTCAGGTGAGCCTCGTCATACGTGGAGTAATGCTGCTGCGTGGCCGACTGAGACGACACAGAAACAAACTTTAAACCAAGATGACTCTTGAAACTGTTTCTTTAAAGCGTTTAGTTCCATCAGACTCACCCAGGGCACGCCGTCGAGCAGCAGCTGGGAGAGACACAGGGCGGCGGCCGCCACCTCAGACGGTCTGTAGTGGACCATGTCGTAGTCGATGAGGGTCAGCTCCATCAGGTATTTGGCCAGCGTGTGGCGCTCTACATCAGACTGAGACACAGACATGATTAAAGCAAAAAAATAAAAAGTTTGACTGAAAAATGATTCTGCTTTTTAGGAAATAAGGTGACGCTCAGGAAAAAATTTCAATCGCCAAGGCGATCTCAATCAAAACAAAAGATGACGTTGATCACCTGACTTCATAGGTGATCAGGGATGTAATTGGCAAAGGAACAAAAAGCAGGATGAAGAGGAGTTCAATGGTAGTTTGTTTTTCTGTGAGAGATTTGTGCAGAAACTCACGCTGCCCACTTTGGACGCCCGTCTGAGGAAGTGCAGAGGAAGAGGACGACCGAGCTCAAAGTTCAGGCTCCTCAGAACCAGCTGCTCCATCTCCAGAATCTGAGACTTGGTGAAGGCGTTGTCGGTGATGTAGGCGAAGTCTCCCACCTCCGGAGCGTACATCTCCTCGTACTTACACGCCACCAGCATGGCGGTCACACCGGCCAGCTGCAGCTTCCTGCGAGAGACCGGCTGGACCTGCAGCACAGGAGGACGAGAGTTTCTACACGGCTCACATTCAAAAAAAACACACAGAAGTGATCATCAGTCAGGTGTTACCTGCAGGAAACGGTCCAGGACGGCCACCGTGAGGTACAGAGTCTCCTGCAGCAGCTGGAACCTGGAGTGAACCTGGACCAGCCAGTCCACCAGCAGAGCGCGCATACGTTCAGTGATCTCATAACCCTGCATGTAGTTCGCCCGTACAGCCTGCTCCACCTGAGGACACGGGGAGGACAGGTGGTCCGAGTTTAAGACACTTTGATAAAGAACTGTAGCTTTCTAAAAACACAAATATCATAAGACAGGCGTGTAGGAGAGGAACGAGGGCGAGCGCCGCCCTGCAGGGATTTAAAAATGGATGCAGGTGAGACAGAGAGCAGCTGATCCGGGGTTAATCACCTCCAGGACTTGCAGATACTTGTAGATATCTTTAACGTATTCAGAGCAGAGCTGGGGCTGGTCTGCGTCCAGCTCGTCCACGTCCTGCACGGCGAGCAGCGCCTCAGAGAACGCCTGACACAGCTCCGCCTCCTCCTTCATGGACACGTCAGCCGACTCCTCTGAGACTGAGGGGAGGGGGTCTGCAGGAGCCGGTACCTGGACCAGTGGAGGAACCACCTGGACCAATGTGGGTTTGACTTTCTGGGCACACGATGGTTTGGCTGATGCTTTAGCTCGTCCCGTTTTCTGAGGAGGAGAAGAAGAAATTAAGTTCATGATTATTGGCTGCAAGGTTTAAGTGAGTCATCTTGAGCTAGCTTTGTGAAGTGGGGCTGCAGGTATAAAAAAGGTGTTTCTGCAGCGTCTTGTTCTCCCCTTTAGGAGCAACAAACCTTCAGAGACGTGTGGCCAAATAGAGCAGCATATGACCAGGTGTGCTCATTAGATGTATAACACAGTTTATGCATCATGAGTTGGTGTGGTTTTGTGATACCTTCGTGTTGGCGGCTGCAGCAGGGACGTTGGTGATCTCTCCCAGAGCGGCTCTCCTCACACCTGCTGTCGTGTTTTTAACCATCTTCATCGGGTTCTCTGCGGCTGGAAGCTGCTGGCAGAGAAAGAAGACACACGGCTGAGACACTCAGAAGAAGCTAAGGCTACGCTGACGGGTCAAAAATATCTTAAAACTTGCGTTAAAAAAAAAAAGAGCACATCCACACAAAACCGGAGCAGACTGTAGAGTTAGCTCACAATGCTAACTAGCGAGCTCACCCAAATGCAACAGCATTCACGAGCTAACTTGCAGTAAAACAGTGAAAATATAAATAAAGTCAGTGAAACTCACCACGGCACGAACTTCAACAGACGACATGTTTGACGTCGAGCTCAAAATGAGAAATGATTTCAGCCCCGAGCAGCAAAATGTACTGAAAAAGGATTCTGTCGCCGCTGATATCTGAAGGTAAACATTAACAACACGGAGACGAGCAGCAGCTTTCAAATAGCGCTCTGTGACATCTGATTGGATGAGGCCTCCAGACGGACGCTCCTGATTGGCTTACAGTGTGGGATCAAAGGTTGTGTTTCCGGAATTTTGGAATCGGAAAACAAATATTTAGAATTAAATTAATAATACAATCAAACCCGTTATATAATAATTGAATAAAATAATATAAATATATATAAAAAATAAAATAAATTAAAATAAAATATAATACAAATTAAATTAAATAAATATAGATATAGATATAGATATAAATATAAATATAAATATAATATAAAATAAATATAAATAAATAATAAATAAAAAGAAGACTAATTGGAATTTATTTTGGTCATAATTCACATTTTCCCTTTTCTTCATTTGATTAATTCTTCCTCTTGTTGTTTATATTTAAAGCCTTTTAAGTGGAGTCAACCCACAAAGATTTTCCACACGTTTGGACCAACATTTAATAATAATCATAATAATAATAATAATCACACGATTTTATTCGTGAGACACTTTAGTAAAGCTCAAAGTGCTGCAGAGTCAAGAAAACATGCAAACAGTAAGGACATGAGTATAAAAGAGAAGAGCAGACAGGAGAGTCAAGAAACATAAAGTGAGAAAGGAAGCATTAAGAAGGATGAGTGCTAAAAATCAGCATAAAAACAAGTACATGCAGGTACTAAGGTAAAGCTTTTTGTAATATCTCAACAGGCGGTAGCGCCCTGTGGTGGTCTGGGAGGGCATTTCATATTTAGAGAAAGGTATTAAGGTGCTGGAAAATGTCTCATAACTAAATCTAAATATACTGTATATCTGTTGTTTAAAATGATATGTATTTGACTATATGTGAGCTAGTACCCATGACATGTAGAATGTAGAAACCTCAATTTTGCATTGAAATAGTGATTACCGTATATCTTTTCCCCGGTTGCTAATGTTTTGCTGCTTTTTCTGTAGTTTTCTTACTCTTTTAATTCAAAATTTTGTAGAAAAAAACCTAAAAAGAATCTACAAAGGAGCGCTACCTGGACTCAAAAATGATGTGTAGGTGGGGCACTGATAGCCTGCCGGTTATGGAGTGCACCCCCATGTACGGAGGCAGGAGTCTTCAGCTCAGCGGCCGTGGGTTCAAATCCGACCTCGGCCCTTTTCTGCATGTCGTCCACCACTCTCTCCTCCCACTCTCTCTTTAGCTGTCCGATCTTATAAAAGGCAAAAAGGCCCAAAAAAATATCTAAAAAAACAAAAAGGTGTGTGTAGGTTTGAAGGGCTCTTTAGAGTGGGATGCAAGCGGTCATAGAAAAAAAAAAAAAGAACAACTCAGAGACTCTCTCTTGAGACAGTAAGAATGCTTTTGTTTTCACAGAATGGTCATGTGGACCCTGATGAAGGCTTGACACTGAAACGCTTTGGTTCAAATACCCGGAGCGGACAAAAGAATAGAAGTTGGTCTGGTGGTCACCGGTCAGGTCACTGCCCGAGTACTGCAGAGGTGCCCTTGAGCAAGGCAGCGAACCCTAAACAGCTCTGGCGCTAGCTATGTAGCAGCTCCACTCTGACATCTCTCCACTAATGCATGTCCACAGGTCCTGTTTGTGCATGTTTGTGTGTGTCTCAGGTCTTCGTGTGAGAAGCATGTCTCTTAATAACACAGTGTGAACGTCCCTTGGAATCTGAGAGTTTAGACTACCAGGGGAACAGGCACCCTGAGCTCTTCTCTCTCTCTCTCTGTGTGCAGTCTCATCATATTACTGCATGTTGCTATATGTCAATCTCAGCTACTAACCACATATTTTCCTGGGAGCTCCTGAGTTCTCATTTCTCATTGGTTCCTTTGGATCTTATGCTGCTTTGGGAAAAATGAAATTCTAAAACCGTCCAACCGTGTGCAGCCAGCCCGGGGAAGAGACCTCAACGGCGTACAGAAGAAAAGACAAATACAGATTGTAAACAGGAAACGATTGCAAATTGATCCAAGTCGCAAAATAAAGGAGCCTCTTTTGGAAGAGTGCATTCAAAGAGCTGTGAAGATACTTAAAGGACAAAACCTTACAACGTTTGATTTCTGATTTTCTTAAATTTATTACTTTCCTTTTACACCGTGGATCATTTTCTGACATGGATTTGGGTTCGTGATTTACTGCAAAAATCTAAGTTCATCACAATCTGTTAAAGGCAGAGTCAGCAGCTTTCTCCTTCAAAATAAAATACAGACTTCTCCTAAAATAGAGCTGCTCCATTGTTCCTTCTCTGCCTCCGTACATGTTGTGGTGGTGACTGTGTCTGCAGAGACTCTGTCCTCTGACTGGATTTTACTGTTCTGCTTTGTTCTGGTTGACTCGGAATGTTTCTGGGCGGAGCTGGTGTGTTTCCTCCAGCCAATGAGAGCGCAGAAGGTGAGTTTAGGAGTGGATACAAGTTAGTGATTGGACGCCATTCAAACCAGTGAATATGACGGACGTAAATATAATCAGAGTGAGGAGAAACACCAAGCGGATAAAGCTCGTTCTGAAACGAGGGTGAACCTTGTGTTGTGTTTTACCCGTGGACGTGGAGTTGGTCTACTTCCTGTTGGACAGGAAGGTGACAAACACTGGCCGTTAGCTTGCGCTAGCGTGCATTAGCTTGCAGTGTAGGTACAAGCAGTAAACGTACACACTACTTCCTGCAGGGGGCGGGGCTTCTGGGGGCAATGAGCCCAGGAGGAGGGGCCATGTTTGAATGTTGTGTTTACAAGCTGCAAAAAAAAATGCTACTGACTCCACCTTTAAACTTCGAACCCCTCAGCTGATTGGCAGTGTTACAGACTTTCAGTCCAAAAACATGAATGTTGAAAACGCTGCTAGCAGAATGCTAATGGCGCCTCGTTTCCACAATTTCCCAGTTTGGGATCAATAAAGTAATTCTATTCTATTAGCATTGGGCTGCTTTGTGGAATCATCAAGCTACACTTCAGTTGCTGCTTATTTCTGCTGCAAGACACAAAAGAAGAATTAAGTGTTCCTCACTGAACTCTCTGTTCCCTTTATTGTTTAAATGATGCATGGCCTGTGTGGACTGATGAAGTGTCTTTTCATTCTTAAAAACACACTCTGGCTGTATTTTTCTGAATCAGATGAAAACGAGACAAACGATGACCCCGGCGTCTCCGGGCGTGACATCTATTCTGCAGGTTTCTCTGTGGGGCGGATGGCTTGGGATGGTTTCGCACGCACTCAGTTTCCATTTTGGTTCATCTGCAGATACTCGTTGTGTAACTTCTCCTGGGCCTCGTAGAGCTTCCGCAGCTTCTTGGCTTGCCCTTTGCTCAGCTCCTTTCCTTCGGCGTCGTGAGTGGGGAAACCCTGCACACAGAAACGAGAGAAAAAGAGATTCAAATAAAGACTGCTCGAGCTTTGGTAACTTCTTTCTCTGAAGTCAGACTCACAGCAAATGAAGAACTTACCGTCTCATCAAACTGGGAATACTTGTCGGCTTCTTTGCGAAACATTTCACACGGGGGGATTTTCATCTTGGCGAGTTTAGCCATCTGAAACATCGAGAAGAATCCGTGCATTTGTTCATTAGAAGAGGAGAAACACTGGAGGACTCTTTCTTTATGAAACCATGTGAGAGACTCACCTCCTGTTCTTGTTTCTTTCTAGCAGCCTCTTCCTTCTTCTTCTTCTTCTCTTCCTCCATCTGAAGAAGAACATTCAAACAATCTTTAAATACCAGGATGTGGGTGTGAAGAGCTAGCATGACGAGTGGGGGAGGGGGGTTGACTCCGGGACGCTGCACTTTCCGGCCTTCCCAAGGAGTCATTAAAGTAATCGGATGAATACCGGTGATGTCCCGGCTCTTGTTGCTCATAAGTCTACAGGTTTGAGTTGTGAGGGCCAGAAGGGGCGACATGGTCGGGTAGGCAGTATCAGCGTGGTCACTACCTGGAGATCACATCGACAGATTCTCTCTGTTGAAGGCGGTGATGCTGTTTGGGTTTTGGTGGCGACTTATGGTCATAGGGTAGGTTATGTTACTTATCAGTCGGGCATAATCGGGGTGTCTTCAACTCCTAATTTCCAAGCCGTGTCCACACATGCGCTGCTGAAATTTCTAAAAAAAATTCCTCCTGATATGTTTGTGTTCACACATGCAGCTCAGTCTTTGAATATCAGAAAGTTTTCTGCATGTGTGAAAGAGGCTTCATGATGGTTAACAAACAAAAGATCCCGCTGTGCCTCCGTGATTTGAGACTCTTTGCTTTCTTGGAGGTATAATAAAATTTTTAAAAAAAGGCAGATTCCTCTCACCTTCTTCTTCTCCTCTCTCTCCTTCAGTAGAGTCTCCTTGTCCACCAGTTTCACCACAGTGGGCAGACCTGTAACACAGCCAGCAGCAGTCAGCAGACGCTTTCACATTCAAGTATGCTCTCCTGGAAAAGTTTGGTGTTCACAGCGGGGAGTGAAGACATGACGCGTAAAGAACGGTGCGGAGGAAGATGGTGGATGAAAAAGCGTCCGGCGGCGCTCTGATAACAGTCAGACGTTTTGTTGTTAGATATCGATGATCTTACGTTACCTTCATGATCTTCCAGTCGGACTCCGAGCTCCGGTAACGTGTCATCACGGACGACGTCACACAGCTGCAGCAGCTCAGTCACTGCATGAGATTAAAACAATTTAATTATTAGAGAAAGAAGAAACAAATTCTGAAGGTAGTTAGTGTTTAATAAAATGTAATGACCAGTGTTTCACCTTCTCCGATTTGACCCTTCTGCAATGTGACTTATTCACGAGTGAATCAGAGTAGAGCTCAACGCTGACCGCCCACTTTTTCGGCGGCTGGTTCAGGAAGTAAATTTCCCCGTTTAAATCCTCCGTTGACTTTTTAGAAAATCCTTACTTCAATATTTATTTTTGCGATGATACAAGACTGTGAACAAAATGTTTTCTTCCAGGAAGGAAGGAGGGAACTACGTATCCCACAATGCATTGCGATTCCAATTAGACCTAACGAACAGCTTGTCTTTATTATTATGTTTATATATAATGTTTTGTTACTCTCAGGTAGCTCGTGGTCAGTACACCTCGGATGGTTATGACATCATAGCCCGGCTCAGTTCAGTACAGAACGCATTTCTTGGTGTTTTCCACTGTCAGAAGTTTGAAATGGGACCAAAATAATCAATCCATACCGTCCTACTTTTTTTTACTACCCATCTGTTGGGGCGCCAAGTGCACTGATCCGACCTTCAAGGGCGGAGCTAGACACACTGCTGTCTGTTGATTGGCTCGTCGGTAAACATCGTCTTGACTACAGTCAACTCAGAGGTTGTTTTCGGGGGTGGGGGAGGGGGGCAGAGAGAATCACTCCCATTAATCCCCCGCCAGCCTCGACATCATCTTTTTGTAATAGTTTTGATTGAGAGCCCCCTGGTGGTGGAACTGACATACTGTGCCTTAAGGTTTGTTTTATTAAAATCTGGATTTGGAAAATTACATAAATCTGATTTTTTTTTTTTTTAAATCCAGCTTCTTACCTTTCTGCTCTCGGGCAATTTTCCGGACGCCCTCTCTGAAATCGGACAGCACGCTGAGGTACGGCATCACCGTGCTCTCCAGCTGACAAACAGAGAGAAGGATGGCGTTTACATCTCAGACGAGATTCAGAGATCTGCAGATTCATTTCTGGGTCAAACATGAAGCATTAAACAAAGATCTCTTTACTCACATCGACGTTCTGACCTTGTCCTCCGACCGCGAAACCGATGGAATTGGATTCTTCTATTGCACCAAATATCTAAAGACAAAAAGACAACGACCCAAGCTTTAAAAAACGACGGTCTCCGAATGGAGGCGTGGCGTTCTTATCCTTTTTGTGACGCCATGTTGGAAGAAACATGAAAGAATCTTGAAACTCAGTTTATTAACCACATTAGCGAGTGATACTGGCCCGAGAGGGAGAGTCATCAGCCCTATTTGACTGCAGAATATGATGCGGGTACAATCACGCTTACCTTGAGCATGTTGGTGAGATACACGGCGATGCTTTCCACCAGCATGCGGTTTGGCTTCAGCTTGGCGCTCTTCCTGTTAGCGATGTAGCTGTTACTCTGACCGACCAGGACTCTCATCTCCTCCATGGCGGTGCGAGTGTCCATGTTGTCGCACAGCGCCTCGTGGACGGCTGACTTCCTGTCGTAGAAACTGGACGACACGAGAACGCACGCATGAAGTTTGTTTTACCTGCTTCAAAAGTTCAGAGAAGTCCAGAGAGGACGGAGGGAGGGGGGTAAGCCTGACATAGCCTGACATTAGCGCTTTACTTTCTCCGATTGCATCAAAGCTTCAGAAATGAAAATAGCGTTCCTTTGTGAAGGTTATCTTCAAAATACGCCATCCCTGCACCACTCTATTGTGGGCGGGGCCTATTGAATTTGACTTTGAGGACTGTGTATAACTATGCCAGGGCCTGCAACACATTTTTTCAGTTACCTCCAAAAGTGGATCCAAGACAGGACGAGGAGGCAAATGTTAGCCAAGAGGCTAACGCTAACACCACTAATCCACATTCAATTACATCAGAGGAGGGCCCCGTGTTTAATGCATCTCCTACACGTCAACCCCCTCACCTGTTGTTCAGCTCCACCTCTGCTGCCTCCCACTTCTCAAAGCGACCGGTGATGTCGGTAGGAGTGCGCAGTATGTCTTTGACATTCAGGAAGAACTCCTGTTTCATTCAGACAAAGAAAGAACAGGAAACAGAAGATCAGAGAAATAGAAACCTCTCAGCGCTGAAGTGAAAAGGTAAATCTGTCAAGTCATCACGTACGTTCAAGAACTTCTCGTACTGGACGGCCGACTCCATCGTGTTCGACGAGTAGTCCAGGGTGTCTTTCCAGGAATGCATCAAGAAAGCCAGACGGAGCTGTCGAGCTGCAGGAGGACGAAGAGTGAAGACGGAGCGTTAAATAAATAAGCTGTTTGCACATCTGCACTCCTGAAACTGTGGAGAGGAGGACTGCTCCTGAAATTCTCAGCTCACTCTGACCCTCTGCAGAATAAATACAAAGAGGCTGGAGGGAAAAGTCAGAGAGAAGAACTTTACAGCAGCAGCTCAGCCTGAAAACACATCCTAGAAGAAGGTATAGTAAGAGGAGCTCAGCCTACACTGGGGTGCATATCTCCTTTCACTATCCACTTACCTTAACCCCGGGGAAAACGTCATGAGGTTAAGGAAAGATGTTAGGAGGCGACGTAATAAAATGCGACGGGCCGGCGGAGGTTAATGACGTGAGTCTGCCGTGTTGAAACTACAATGTTCCAAAAATGGACTACAAAAAGCGCATCTAAAAAACTTTCCCCTGTGCCTTCTTACCAGTGAAATAATCCTAATACCACAAGGCTGGGATTGAAATAAAAGCCATATAGGCTACGAGTAACAAAAGTGAAACCATCACCTTCCTGTCCACTCAGAAATCAACATCAACATAAGTAGGCCTATGACTGTATGAAATTAATTGTTACATTTATACAAGACATACATAATGTTTTAAGCATACAAATGTACAACTGTACAAAACATTCTTAAGTGAATGAAATATGTTCAATAAAACATCATCTGATAAAAATGTCTCTTATCTTTTTATCCCTTACATGATCTGTGTCACTTTACGGTCATCGTTAATGTCCGTGAACGGTCGGATGCGCGACTCGCTTTAAATGTTGCGGCCGCAAGGAATTGTGGGGCGTCATATCTCATCTCCTTTCCTAAAGGATGGTCCAGTGTATCCTAGGCTAAAGGAGGTTATAAAGGAAGCATTGACCCACCTTTCCTTAACTTTAGAGAATTTGAACGGCTCTTATCATGGCTGCCTCTTCCGAGTCATTTCACTCAGTTAGGAACCTTCCTAAGAAAAAATGACGATTCAAACGCACACGAGGTCTGCTCAACTCACCCTTTTCACAGTGAGTTTGACCTTTGACCCTCAGGTTGTTGTTTTAGAGCTCCTGTGAGGAACACTAAACAACTCCAGGTCTCATTTGTCCTCAGTGTAGTTTATATCTTAAATAACAATCAGCCCTCAGGTTGCTCTTCTTGCACATTTGCACTCCTCCACTTTTGACTTTTGACTTTAGATATCTTATGATGACTGATTTTACTGCTCTGTCTCATATTGTTTCATGTTGTCTTGTGTTCTGATTCTAACTCTGATAGGACTCTGATGGACTCTGTGTGCTCCTGCTGCAAAACACATTCCCCCTGGCGGGACGATAAAAAATCTGAATGTAAAAACGCGACAGCAGCCTCGGACGTTAATTAACGACATGAAGCTGAAGCAGAGGAGTCACCTGTGTTTTTCGCCAAAGCGTCTTTAATGGTGATGAAGTTCTTCAGAGATTTGGACATCTTGCAGCCAGCGATCGTCAGGTGTCCGGTGTGCAGGAAGTACCGGACCCAGTAATCGTTCTCAAAGAAAGCCTGGACGAGAAAAAAAAAAAAAATAAGAACCGTGATCCAGGTGAGTATTTCACTCCGTTTCCTGCTTCAGTGTTCTCTGCACAAAAAGTTGACGAGTCAGCTGTTTACCTCAGACTGCGCCAGCTCGTTGTCGTGATGGGGGAACCGGAGGTCGAAGCCTCCCCCGTGGATGTCCATGGACTCCCCTAAGATGGATCCGGCCATGGCCGAACATTCGATGTGCCAGCCGGGCCGCCCCTGAAAGAAACGCATCAAAAAACATTTTCGTTCTGTTTTTTAAAATAAACTTCGTCCCTGTGAAGACGGTTTTTTTTTGTGTCTCGGTGTAACAGCGACGACACTCACCTTCCCCCACGGAGAGTCCCACGACGGCTCTCCGGGCTTCGACGCCTTCCACAGGGCGAAGTCATTGGGCGACTTTTTCTCACTTAATCTGTCCGCTGAGATGCTCAGATCGCCTGCAGGAAGACGGGACACAGAGGAAGGGGCGGTTGTTATTAGTGATGGGGCGTGGCTGTACATTATGTTATCAACATTAACCGCCTCCAGGGACCCGAGAGTCAGGGATTTTTATTTTGGGGGTCACGGGGTGAACGTTTGGGACCCCTGTTTTAGACAGCGATAAAGCTGTGACACTCGACGTGTACCGCCTCCACACATTGTTTCCTGAGAAAGCCACAGCGCCGGTAGTCTCTCCTCGCTGGCGGCTGAATGACGCTCCAAGTGACAAACAGGCCACACGTGTCTGTCAACATCCATCGTTACAGCAGAATGATGACATACCGTAAAATCCTGAATATAAGTCGCACCGGGATATAAGACGCGGCCTGTTTCTGTGGGTTCTCCCAGAGAAAAAAAAAAACTGTTGAGCTGTCTTCCTGTTTGACGATCTACGACGGGCAGTTCCCTGTGTCGCTCTTTAAGTCCCGTCTGTTTTCTCTTTGTGGCGTTTGCCCTCCTACCAGCTGCAGTACGCTAGTCGCCTACCTACAGCCGATTTGTACCGCCCACCTCCATTGGTCAACTTTAATATAAGACTCCTTCAATCGAGAGATCTCACCACAACTTTTATTTACGGATCAGTGACAGACACAAAAGTGGCGCTGCCAGCACGGTCTGCGTTGCTATGTATCCCAGCACAGCTCGCTTCAGTTGGCGGGTCAGTGTGTGATGATGGCGGTTTCACTCGTGGTAATGACAACATTTCATACTGCTATATTGGTCAGACCTGTGTTTCTGCTGCGGAGGCGGAGTCATAGCGTGTTCATTCGGTGTTTTTTAGGCCCCTCAGGTTCCTGGAGGTTGTTGTGAATGAGCACACGGGGTCTTAAGGGAGTAAGAATGAAGTTCTTGAGGATGAAACGTACGTACCCTCTCCCTCCTGTAGCGCTTTCTGATCTCCGACCGCCTCTGGCACCAGTTTGGCGTACGAGTGCGTCGGACTGGAGTCAAACTTTGCGGTGTCGAAGTACACGGAGCCGTTCGATTCGTACCTGGAAACATCAGAAAAACAAAAGATTATTACCCAAAAATACACAAACAATGTGGAGGTTTAAACACGAGCAGTTTGTTGACTTACCCGTAACCGTTGGAGATGACCTTCTCCACAAAGTCCACGATCTCGGGGACGTATTCACTGACCCGGGTGAGAACGTCTGCGGGGAGAACCTGGAGACCGCAGAGACGATTTATTAAAAACAAACAGTAACACACACACACACACAACACCTGATCATGAGTTTAGTTCATTCTGTCCTTTAAATATGAACAGAACCAGAATGAACCGGACTGAATGAACCAGACTGAACCGGACTGAACCGGACTAGACTAAATGAACCGGACTGAATGAACCGGACTGAACCGGACTGAATGAACCGGACTGGACTAAATGAACCAGACTGAACCGGACTGAACCGGACTAGACTAAATGAACCGGACTGAATGAACCGGACTGAACCGGACTGAACCGGACTAGACTAAATGAACCGGACTGAATGAACCGGACTGAACCGGACTGAATGAACCGGACTGGACTAAATGAACCAGACTGAACCGGACTGAACCGGACTAGACTAAATGAACCGGACTGAATGAACCGGACTGAACCGGACTGAATGAACCGGACTGGACTAAATGAACCAGACTGAACCGGACTAAATGAACTGGACTGAATGAACACGACTGAACCGAACTGAATGAACTGGACTGAATCCCAATGAATGAACTGGACTGAACCGGACCGCTTGGTGGAACTTAGAGATCCCCCTCTGTCTTGTCTCACTCACGTTCAGAGCCTCCATGTCTTTGTGGTACTCGCCCTCCCAGTATTTGGGCAGAATAGAGAAGATTGAATTCTCTGTGACTTGACTTCCAAACTGTTTGTCCAACCAATCAGCGAGCAGGTCCTTGGAGCTCTCCAGCAGTGCCTTAAAGAAACAAACACACGCAAACGTTCAACAAATCAGGTCATCAGGATGTCTTTGCATTTACATTCATTTATTTTTAAATCATCACTTAAAGCATGTTGGACTGACGGAGAAGAAATCAGTCAGAGAGTTCAGGGTGAAAATATGAAATAGCTTTGTAATTATTCCAGGACCAATAAGACGGAGGTAACAACAGGGATGGGCCATGATTTCAAATATTCAAATCATCAATTTATAGAACATCAAAGTTTTCAAGCAACTTTTCTCTTATGATCAAAAGAGCACGCCACAAGTCGCCTTCAATCTGAATCGGGAGGTCAGGGTTTAAACTGTCTTCCTGTGATGATGAATAGAGGCGAGTTTCCAATCGCGGCAGGTCGCGTCTATTTTCGGTCATGGCGGCGCATGTGTCAGCATAAAGGACGCAGCCAACGTTATACATGAAATAATTATTTTACAATAAGTGGGGGAGAGAAGGTAAGCCGAGAAAAACGTGTTTGGGTACACATGTGAGCAGCGCTGATAAAAAAGCCTCGGACATTTCTTCGTCCTTTGCAGAACCTGACTGGACCCTGTCAATAATAATCTGCCCACACGTGAAATAAATCAGCTTGAATTCTGACATGAATTTTGAAAATGTATTCCTGAAGTTATATAAGCATCATCTTTGTTCCCAACGAGAGGGAAGTTACTGCACATTACACGAAGTCCTCTCAGTCTCACCTGGGCCAGAGGTTGAACCACCTCGTCTGATGCTTTGCCGTCCATCGCTGCCTGCAGAGGCTGCAGAGCGGCCGTCACAGCGGCGTCCAGCCTCTCCAACATCTGCTTCTTATCTGGGTCCGTGGTCGACGCCAAGCCGGCCTGAAACGGCTGTAAAACAGAAAAAAATACAGACTTGAGCTTGAATATTTATTTTCTCGTCTTCTGACACTCTTACGCCGCAGTTCACACCGACACAGTCACACGCTGATGGTAGAGGCTGCTGAGTAAAGAGACGGAGCAGCGGGAGGAACTTGGTGTTAAGTGTATTGCCCAAGGACACATCGGACATGTAGCTTCAGGAGCTGGGTATCGAACCCCCTGATGTTCTGGTTAAGAGACAATCGACTCTACCCACTGAGCCACAGCCGCTCCTAAATGCAGATGAATGCCTGATAAACACAACCCAAAAGATGTGAGAACCAGTCTCTGCTTTCCCATGTTCTTCAGCAGCACCGTATAAAAATCAAGGTCTTAGTGAATCCGGCGCTGACCGGGAGTTATTTCTCACCCCTCTGGCACTCAGGACGTCCTGCAGGATCTGAGCAGGTTGTGGTTTCTTCTCCTTGTACTGATCCAGGAGGAAGTTCTGCCGCGCTCTCTTGATGATCTGACGGAGAGAAGCACAACACGAAGCTTACACGAGTCCCAGAGAAACAAACAGAAAGGAGCACATCCTGAAAAGAAATGTGAAAGATCGCTCCTTCAATCAAATATCTGAACTTTAAAATAAACATGATGACGTATTAAACTAAACGTATTCAGAGAGGGGACAAAGTCATGATCAGGTGTCTTGCTCAAGGGCACCTGGTTAGTGCTGAGGAAGTGATGTTGCACCTCTCCAGCTACCAGACAAACCACCCACACCAAGACTTGAACCAGCAACCCTCAGGTTCCCAGCCAAAGTCCCTACAGACTGAACTTCTGCTCAAAATATATCTGTGTGTCCACCCATGTGTCCCTCTGCTGCATATAAGTGAAAAGTGTGTGTCAGCAAACCCCCACAACTCCCTGACTTGCAGACAGCAGAGGAGCAGCTACACCAAACGCGTGTTGCAGCGATGGAAGCGGGCAAGAGAAGTGGTTCAGATAGAAGTGATTGTACCCGACCTAAAAAGCCTCTGCATGTTTCTAATAAGCTCCACGAGCAGAAACGTGCTCAAACTAGGATCAATATTGGAGATGCTTTTGAAAAATGGAGAGAGGTTAGAACGCAGAAAGGTTTACAGACCGATGCAGAGCTGGATAAACACTGAAGCTTCAGAGTCCACCACATGGTGACCTGTGTGAGCATCGACTCTAGAGAGGAGGGGGCGGGGGGAGACAGCTCTCTATGATGTTTAGAATCTGGACTGCAGTACCCATTTTAAACACTAGGTGTCAGAGACTCTTTGTTATTAATGAGACTTACTTTGTCATCGATGTCGGTGATGTTCATGCAGTACAGGACGTCGTACTTGAAGTAATCCCGCAGTATCCTCCGCAGAATGTCGAAGGATATGTACGACCTGAAGAGACAGTTTAGAGTTAAATTCTACCGACATGAGAAAGAGAGTAAAGTGGAGTGACAGGAATATAAATGCTGCAGAGGAACGGATGATGATCTCATCCTGACGACGCCACGTTTACCTGGCGTGTCCCATGTGTGAGGCATCGTAAACCGTCGGCCCGCAGCAGTACCACGTGACCTTGTTCCCTTTCTGAGGAACAAACGGCTCCTGAAACACAAAAGATCACCATGACAACAAGCTGACTGACTAACACATCAAACATCTGAAAACTGATCAAGAAGTCGACACATTCTTCCTTTAATAAATCTGACTTTTTGTGCAACATGAACATCTCGTGTGCATCCTGACAAACATCACAAACATCCTCTACGTGATAATCTCCCCTCCTCTCACCTTGGCTCTGGTCAGGCTGTTGTAGAGCCGGAGTTGGGGAACGTCTGTTCCTGCTGGTGGAGACCAGGGGGGCTGAACCCGCTTCCCTTTCACTGAAATGAACAAAGAAAGAAATCATTGAAAATAGAGAAGCAGAGAGAATCACTCCCATGATTCCCCGCCAGCCTCGACGTCATCTTTTGTTATTGTTTGATTGAGAGCCCCCTGGTGGTGGGATTTACATACTGAGCCTTAAAGTGGTTAATTTGATGATTAACATTTTATACCATAAAAACAAAGAGGTTATATTCAAATGACAGATGAGAAACACTGAGGGATTCAATTGATTAAAAAGTTTAATCTCACTATACTAATCGTTTTTTTTACATCACATACAGAGCTCAACAGGGGCCGCCCACTTTTGCAGCGGCTCTGGCTCCAGAAGTAGAGTTTTACAAAATCCTTATATCAAGAGATTAAAGCCTGTTACCAAGACTACCAGCTGCCCCTATACTTGTGACAATAAAACATTTGATTCGGTGCAAAAACTGCGTTAAAAAAAAAAAAAACCTGAGAAAAGGACATTTTTCATCCAGAGTCAAGGAACTACACATCCCACAATCCATTGCTCGGCATGTTGCCACCGCGACCCAACCTCGGGTAAGTGGAAGAAAAAGGACGGATGGATGGATGCAGAATAACTGTTCTGCAGAAATGAACTCAACATTAAACTCAAGAAATCTGATGCTTCAGGGAACTTTTCATTTGAATGTCTCTGAACAACAAAAAACAAAATGACCTAAAAAGTAGAAAAATGTCCGTCAATCAAATTCCCCTCCCCCCAAATAACAACTCTTGATCATGCAGGGACAGAAAAGCTGTTTATTTCCTGTCTCAATGTGTCACTGATTAGAGAAAGAATGAAACACTCACTGTGTGAAACCAAAACATCATACTGAAACCTAACTTCTGTTGGCTCCAACAGACTAACGTCAATATGAAAATGATACCCTCACCGGTGTGAGAGCGTCTCAGATGTTGTTCACTTAGGAATAAAACTCCTTCATTTTGTTTTCTTTTTGCCGTGTCATTTCTAGAAACGTTCAGGAGTGCATGTGTGAAAGGGCTTCAATCTTTAAGACACCTAAACTATGTAAAAGAGGACCACACTGACCCTTTAATGAAGAAGCCCGTTAAAGCCAGGATGTTAAAGCCACACAGCATGCAAACGTGTGAGTGTGGTTTTGTCCCAGCTGCTGCCTCGATGTTTACACAGCGATAAGTTCAGCGCTCAGCTACACACACCCGGTTACAGCACGCTGCGATCAAAGCTCGAGTGAATCATTCTGCCAGGAGGCGCTGTGGGTTCATGCATGTGAGTGTTTGCAGAGGGGCAGGTTGGAGCTGTTTTCAGGCCTTCAGACAGCCTCACACGTCTAGCCTGTTCATGCCGTTGTCCGTCTACTCACAGCTGCTGTCAGGGAGGAGGAGGAGGAGCTCCAGCTGCAGGGACGCTATGTGTCTGTACCAGCGCAGAGCGTGGACATGGTGTGGGTCTGGGGGCCTGCGGAGGAGCTTAAAGACTTTCTGGTCGGTTTGGGAGGGGGTGAACCCAGCCAGGTAGCTGCGAGAGATTAGGTAGTCATTCAGGGCCGCCGCCAGCGCGGCCTCCTCATCTATCTGTAGCAAGAAGCCAAACTCAAAGGCTGCGGAAACAACAAGACGACAAGAGGGCAAAGAGTCGCAAAGAGTTACCGACAACAACAGGCTGTGAAGACACCAACAGGAGCAGCAGCACACCTTTAACCTGGACTGGACTGAGAGTAACCACGGCGATGACAGGATCAGACTCACAGCACACACCGACTGAGTTCAACAGAAAGTCAGAGAACCAAACTCACATTAAGGAACCAAAACGGAGTTCAAAAGGAAACAGATAATAAGACACAAAACACCTCGAAACAGACTCAGAGCCACGTTAGACCTCTGATAAAACAAGATACACACACACACACGAGGATGTCAACATTTATAATACGACAAGTTTTAAATGATACAATCTGTTTTTCAGAAGTCAAGAATTTCAGAAGTCGTCTACTTTCTTTTTCAGTGCCTTGCTGAAAAGTTGAACGATTTTCAAATTGAGCGCTCGGAGCGGCCGCACTAAAAAGATGGAACACATGCTTAATATGAAGATAAACCCTGAGCTGAAAAACTGAATGTTTCTGAATGATTCATGACATTTTCTAAGGTGACTTGCTCGGTATGTTGCCACCGCGACCCGACCTCGGGTAAGTGGAAGAAAAAGGACGGATGGATGGATGCAGAATAACTGTTCTGCAGAAATGAACTCGACATTAAACTCAAGAAATCTGATGCTTCAGGGAACTTTTCATTTGAATGTGTCTGAACAACAGAAAACAAAAAGAGAAATGCATCCATCTAAGAATGAAACACTCACTGTGTGAAACCAAAACATCATACTGAAACCTAACTTCTCCCCCGTGCATTACGGAAAAATAAAACTGAGTCAGAATGAAAGTGGATCCAACAGACCAACGTCAATAAAAGGGTTTATAGAGAGGAGAAAGTCAAAGATGGTAGCACTGTGCGTCCATCTTGATATTTATCTAAGTCGATCATGCAGCTTTTAAAGCAAACCGTCGATAACGTGTGAAAACAGCAGATTGACAGAAAGACGTGCAAGTCAGATTCACGTAGACCACGAGGTACTCGGTGGCGACATCTATGAACAAAGACCAACAAACACTGAGTGACAAACCTGTTGACACAACTAAGGGTGTCAACAGGTTTGATGCCTCAGTACTTTATCAGTAAACAATATCATCTGTTTTTTAATGATTGATAGAATCAAAAAGTAGGGCCTGACCACAGGTTGTAAATATTACTGGATGAAGCCTGAGTGACGTCACCTGTCTGTTCCTGCAGGGGCGCTGGAGTCCCATCGATGGCGGTCTCCGTGCTGGAAATGCTGCCTCAGCGTAACTTTCAGTCAACCTAACGACAGGCTGAGAGCTGGAGCTGAGGCGGGTTTTAAACCTCCTGACAAACCGTTACACCGCGCCCGCCTGTCAATCAGCTCAGCTATACGATATATAACTATGGATAACATGTTAATTTATGCTGTGAAAATGTGTTTTTTGAATGGGTGTGTATGTGCTTTCCTGTGCTTCTGCAGCCAGCCTCTAGTGGACACTCGGTGAACTGCAGGATTTTGCACTTCCGCATTGGCTTCATTTGTAAAGACCGGAGGTTGCCGCTTGGTTTCAACGCAAGGAAGCTGTCCACTTGTATATACACTCAATGGTTTCCTCATGTTATTTATTTAAATTTACAAGATGTTTTGAGTCTAAATCTGACAACAATACACACTACAGATATTCATGTTTAATACTTTTAAATATAATAAATATGTTATCATATATTTATATTGACTGATTACATTAAATGTAGGGAAACATTACCATGTTACATTAATTTAATCCCAATAATAATAAGTTATAACCCTTTATTTATTTTAGCCCAAAGACTTTTATTTTTTAAATTAACGGAAGTATATTAATGTCAAAACAATCCAAACGAAATAGCGTTTTAAAAAATAAACATTTTAAACGCTGCAAATTCGTGTTTACTCCGTAAAATAAATAAAATACTAGTGTTTGTTTTATGTGTGCCGGATTAAAGACAGTGTCATTTATTTTCTATAAGAGCTGTTGAAGCTTCTTCATTGATCTTCGTGTTTAAATTCACACATCCCGCTGAGTTACCTCACAGTTTAAATGTGCAGATTTTTAAACGGGGTTTGTCGTATCATCCTCTTTCCGGTTACCTTTAAACTCTGTCATATCAATCAAATAAAACGTCTCAAAGGTTAAAAACAAATATTTACCTGGCTCTCCTGAGGTCGACATTACCACAGTGCTGGATGGTTGGATGCTGATGCAACAATAACGTGTCCGGAAGAAGAACCCGGGTGCAAAACATGCATTCACGTACTGGCTGAATAATTGGAAAAATGAGTTTTACAATTGAGAAAATGTATCTTGAAGGTTTCGATTAAGCTTGAAAATGATCGGCCATGTAAGGGCCATTTGAAAGAATAATAAAAGAGCTGTTTATTTCAGAGCGCTAAAAACTTTGATTATCAATTATATTTTTATGAGATACAAAACTGAGAATGTTTTAATCTCAAGAATTCCTGAGTTTTGTTTCTAAAAAAAATTATAATCTCCAAATTTCCCTTTTGCGAAGATTCATGACATTTATGATCCAAAACATTGTGAGTCTAGTTTTGTAATTGATTGACTTTATAAGACAAAAAAAAATCAGATTTTGATGGTCAAATAAACTATCGTAGAATTTTAACTGGAAGTGTTGGATAACATTTTGTAATCTAACTTGCTGAATTGACAAATTTAAATTATTTCACCTGAAATTATTTTATTGTGTTCCTGCGATAACGTATACATTTCTCTTGTTTTTCTCGAGATCTTGACTTATTTATTGCAGTATCTCGGAAAAATGTAGTTAAATAAAATGTATACATGTATGTTTGCATCGGTCATCTGTATTATACAACCTCAAAATAAAAAAATATTACTTATTAAGGAAAAGTATGGAAGCATTTTTTATTTTTATTTTTAATTATTTTTTGGGGCTTTTTGTGCCTTTAATGGACAGAGAGGACAGTGGATAGAGTCGGAAATCAGGGAGAGAGAGAGTGGGGAATGACATGTGGGAAGGAAGCCACAGGCGGGAACGAACCCGGACCACCCGCTTGAGACGACAGCCTCCATACATTGGGCGCGCGCACTAACCACTGCGCCACCAGCACCCCATGGAAGCATTTTTTATTCTGAAATTTCTGAAATAACCAGGTAATTATCTCGGAAGTTTTTATGGAAGATTGAAAAATGTGCAGTTTTTTTCGAATACGCTTCATAATTTAATGTCAGGCAATTACATTTAAAAATTATATTTATTCATACATGGAATTAAATCTCATGTATTTAAAAAAAAAAAAAAGAGAAGAAAAATCGTGATTAAATCGTATTGTGACACATATCGTATCGCGAATTAACGTGAGACACAGGATAATCCGAGCGGCACTTGAATGCAGCGTGAATTCTTACGCAGTAAAAAGGAACCAATGTATGATAACCTGATCACCGGGGACGTAAATAACAGTCGGACCAGAACAAGGAAGTGTTTCCTCTAAAAGTACAGGTGAAAACAAATCTAAAACTCGTCTCTAACGTCGGTTTTTTCCCGGTAACAGCGGCTAAATGAAGCGGCTGTTTGTGACCGGACAGTAAGTTGAAGCGGAAATGTCTCAGTTCAAAGAGCACGTGGACAGACTGAGTGGTTATTTTGATCGCTACACGGAGTACGTGAGGAGAAACCCAGCTGCTACAGCACACCTGGAGAGCACGGTGCGGACCCTTTCCTACCTGATCGCAGGTCAGTGACAGGTGCACTCCTGTTAACAATCTGGAATTCATTGTTTGAACTTTCCGCTCCAGGGTTGTCACAAAACCGGAAGTATAAAACTTTCATATTACTATTCTATTAGAAATCACACACCTGCTTGTTACCACGGCAACAGTGTTAGACCCCCAGGTTGTGTCATTTCTTGTTTTTAATTCCCCTAAAATTGCACCGCTGACCAGAAAACAATTTCAAACTGTAAACATTTTTTATTTACAGTGTACTTAGTGTCATTTTCAAAATATATCTTAAAGAACATTATAAACGTTGTGATTTTATAATATAGAAAAGAAGAACGATGAAAACCGGAGCAAAAAACTTTATTACTTAAAGGAGCGGTATGTAACTCTGACTCCTAGTGTTTAAAATGGGTACTGCAGTCTAAATTCTAAACATCATAGAGAGCTGCCCCCCCTCCTCTCTAGAGTCGATGCTCACGCAGGTCACCATGTGGTGGACACTGAAGCTTCAGTGTTTATCCAGCTCTGCATCGGTCTGTAAACCTTTCTGTGTTCTAACCTCTCTCCATTTTTCAAAAGCATCTCCAATATTAATCCTAGTTTGAGCACGTTTCTGCTCGTGGAGCTTATTAGAAACATGCAGAGGCTTTTTAGGTCGGGTACAATCACTTCTATCTGAACCACTTCTCTTGCCCGCTTCCATCGCTGCAACACCTGTTGACCTGATAACTGCTCTCACATCTGGCAAACCGAGGGGCGTCCAAAACGGCGTGTGGGGTGTGTCTTAAAAGCGCCTACCTTCTCTGGTCCAAACAAATCCAGATCATTCAGGACCAGAATCTAAAGTTAGAAGGTTGGTGTAAATTCGTCCCTACAGGCTTGGGGGGGCCCAAAGCAGTTCCCCGTCCTGCGTGTTGACAAAGAGCTCCTCTGTAGTTTCTTCTGTCCCGTTCGATACTGTCAAATGTTAAATAATGCAGATTGTGTCGTTTTAAAACACATGGTATTAAAAGTTATCCAAGTATCTAACTGCTCTCATATCTGGCAAACCGAGGGGCGTCCAAAACGGCCGTGTGGGGTGTGTCCAGAATCTAAAGTTAGAAGGTTTGGTGTAAATTCGTCCCTACAGGCTTGGGGGGGCCCAAAGCAGTTCCCCGTCCTGCGTGTTGACAAAGAGCTCCTCTGTAGTTTCTTCTGTCCCGTTCGATACTGTCAAACGTTAAATAATGCAGATTGTGTCGTTTTAAAACACATGGTATTAAAAGTTATCCAAGTATCTAAACATAAGATGAGTTTCACTTTAACAAACACGACACACTCATTAATTTAACTTATACAGCACAAAATGGTTATTTTTTGAAGAACAGGTATTAATGACGTATATAATGTTTCATTTATTTTTTATTTCACTTTTAGGCCGATTTGCAGATTCCCATGTAATTTCTGAACTAGGTAAGTAAAAGTCACCTTTGTTTTTTGCAATAATTTTAAGTTGATGCTTAAGTTGCTGATTTTTTTTTTAGCTTTATGTTTTAAAAAAAAGTCTCTAAAATGTGTTTGATGTATCTTAAAAAAAAAGAGTAAAATCTGAAGAGACATAACTAAAATGAGGACAAACATGTTGTTTATTACGTTGTGTCTTTTTCAGTGTACTCTGCCTCCAACCTGCTGGTGTTGTTCAATGACGGCATTCTGCGTAAAGGCCTGAGATGTGCCTTGCCTGCGGTGAGTGATTTTCTCATAACATCTGAGAAATTATTGCTTGCTTGATTTTTTATAAAGTAAAGTGTCGGGCTGGAGTTTTTCAGTCTGAGCGTCATGTGTGAACACAAACAGCTGAATGTTTCTCTCTTCACCCGGAGTTTCTCCTCCAGCCTCCTCGTATTTATTCTGCAGAAAGTCAGAGTGAGCTGATGTGAGAACGCAGCAGGATATAATCAGGAGAATTCACCTGGAGCGAGTGGGAGGGGGTGGTGACGTTTATTCCCTGTGATCGCTGCACGACCATAGACTGTCTGCACGCCATGCGATTTATTGTTCAGCACTCGGCAAACACGTCCATGACCAGTGGACTGACACTGGCTTAAAATCTACTTACATGAGTAAACATTGTTAGTATTGTCCAGTTTCATGTCAGTGTTAGGACTGACCCCTCGCTGTGTGTGTGTGTGTGTGTGTGTGTGTGTGTGTGTGTGTGTGTGTGTGTTGTGTCAGTCTCTCTCTCAGCAGAGACTCCAAACCTGGCTCTCCGTGTTGGAGTACGTGGAGGTTTTCCTGGAGATGGGCGCCTGTAAGCTGTGGGGGGAAGTCGGCCGCTGGCTGGTGATCACACTCATTCAGATCTTTAAGTAAGAAATCTTTCTCTAGTGACCTGGAGAGGCGTTTGCAATGACATCAGCGTTTTTTATAACTAAAGTTTTTTTTTAGTTTCTTTTTTTTTAGAAAACTAGAAACGGCTGTTATGTGATCTCTCAGAATCCACCAGACTCCACTGACAAAAAAAGTAATTTTCATTCTGCAGAACTCAGCTGATCTCCCGCTGCCTTGATCTGTTCCTATTTTGTGTTATTGTGAGACTTCAGTTTGGATACAACTCAATGTTTGTAGCACAAATAAACATACAAGATAGCGTTAGACCCAAGCAGCAACCTCCGTTGTTGAGAAGTGAAGCAGATGCTGAAGTGTAAAATCCTGCAGTTCCTCGAGTGTCCACTAGAGGCTGAGCTGCAGAAGCACAGGAAGTCACATACACACCCATTCTAAAAAGCCTGTTTTTACAGCAGAGATTAACATGTTTACAGCCTAGTTAAAAAAAAAAACAGGTGTGATTAGCTCATGTCTCGATCGGCACACACTGTACGGGGGGTGAATGTTTTGATGACTCATCAGCTTTGATTTGATGAAGGATAAGAGTTATTCACAATAAGGCGTGTAGCTGACCTGATTGACAGGTGGGCGCGGTGTAACGGTTTGTCAGGAGTCTTAAAACCCGCCTCAGCTCCAGCTCTCAGCCTGTCGTTAGGTTGACTGAAAGTTAGGCATGGAGACTGCCATCGATGGGACTCCAGCGCCCCCTGCAGGGACAGACGGCTGACGTCGCTTTGTCTGTCTATGGTGTAGATTTGATTGATATCGATTCGATAATCCGCATAGACGACAGAAATACCCAGATAATTCAGTAGGGTACCTTCTTATATTTAATGTTGTCGGCACCCGTCTGGTCACTCAGGCTATGGTTAGAGCAGCTGGTGTGTTCTGCAGGGTATAATGAATGTTTTTGTCATGGAGTCTGGTGGCTTTGCAGAGAGTGATGATTCCTCTAAACAAAATATCTGTCTCTGTACGATCCTTCCTGTAATGTTTTCAAACTCTTCAGTTTCTGTCTTGTGTGTTTTGACTCCGAGTGGGACAATACTGTTTTATGCTTTGTGTTGTTTAACATTTCTCGCCTGTGCTCCAGTCTTTGATCAACTTTTCTTCCACCCTTGAACTCCAGGGCAATTTTCCGCACCGTTCTTCTTCTGTGGTACAAATCCGGCATCCAGACTTCCCCTCCCATAATCCCCCTGGACCGAGGAGCCGAGCTTGTCAGTGAAGGTCAGTTCTCCTCTTTCTGTCTGCTATGAACTCCTTTGGGTGAACAGTAAAACGTTCAAGGAAGTGTGTGCTCAAACAGGCCGTTTGGAGATTTTCCCTTCATGACATCACAAAGGGCAGTAGCCCCTCCCCCAGGTGGGTGACACTCCCACAGCTAGGTGTTTGTTCTGCCCTCTGAGTCTGCCTTCTCACCGTAAACAATAGGACATGGAGCGAGAAAGCCAGAGACACCCAAGCCCTTCCAGAGAGGGGGCGTGGTCAGACACAGCTCATTTACATATTTAAAGGTACAGACACAGAAACAGCCTGTTCTGAGCAGGGCTGAAATAGAGGAGTTTATAGGCATGATCAAATACAGGATCAGAGTGGATTTAGAACAAGAAACTTCACACACATGTTTTGAGGAGCTCTGAAACTTATTTACACTGAAGAAGAGGAGCAGAATATGAGACCTTTAAAAGTTGTCTTTTAATGGCAAAATAAATCAATCGATGCTGCTCTAAACTCCACAAGCTGAGTCTTAGATTCATTTAAGATTTCATTCAAGTTACTATGTTGTGTTTTCCCTCCTCCTCAGACGATGAGAACAGAGAGCAGCAAAACGACGTCTGCTTCGTGGGTCAGAGATCAGGGCGGGTCGTCCGGCCACTCGGCAGCGGTGAGAGTCGTTCAGACGTTTAAAAAGGATAAGCTGTGTTTGAATCATCAGCTTGACAACATGTTTATTATCAGGGCCACAGCAGGATTTACTTACTGTCTCCCTTTACCCCCCCCAGCTCCGTCCCTGCAGGCTCGGCTGTGGGGAGCACCGAATAAGAGCAGCGGCTCGAACAGAGAGACGCTCAACAGCAGAGCGACAGAGCTCAGGCTGCGGGAGACCGTCGCAGAGTGTTTGTTCATCAGTCGGCCGCTCGTACACCGTATCCTTTTTGTTGTCCTCTCCATCAGTTCAAACAGCTCTACACACGGGGGGACACGTCTCTGACGCTACTCTACGTTCTTCAAGAGAAAATATCGTTGAAATGTGTTTATTTTTTAGTAAACATTAAGATTTACTAAAAATGTTAGTGATCCGAGTACGCTTGACGCTACCCTTCTTGGGTTGGAGGTGTGTCTCTGGAGGAGAGTGGAGGCTTCAGTATGGAGGAGGCGTGGCCAATCAGCAGTTTGTTTTAGTTTCATGCTGAAGCTCAAGGGCGCCATCTACTGGATCAAAAAGTCGCACATTCAATGTTTGGGGGCACTGGTGACTCAAAGCGAGCGGCCCAGGTTCGAATCCAGCCTGTGGCTCCTTTCCTGCATGTCATTCCACTCTCTCTCTCCCTGAGGCACAAAAAGCCCAAAAATAAACATAAAAAAACCCAGTAAAATGTTTAAAGTTTGAATGAGCGGCTGCAGACTGAGGATTGTGAAGTTATCGTGCAGTACTGGAGTTGACCTCCAGGTGGCGAGCTGTTTCAATGCTGATACTTAATATTAAACATTTGTCTCTCTATCAGATGGTTTTTCTTTAACCTCCCTCTCATCAGTGCTCTCTCTCGGGCTCTGTGGGAAACAGTCGTGGAAGCCGTGGCTCATCTCAGGAGCCGTGGAACTCTCCAGGTACGGAGCCTCCTCTTCTGCTGTATTAGATCTTAAATATCTTTTTATAAATTACCATGTTTTCAATGCTGAGTCAGATTATTTATCCTGTAAAGAGGAGAAAATGTACAAAACAGAATCTGAATCTTTTCCCGTCCTCTTGTTTAGTTTTGCGGTGCTCAGTGAAGCAAAATTTCAGAACCGATGGGAGCGAGCCGAGATGAGGAGGAGAACTTTCCTGTTGCTCTACTACCTTCTGCGATCACCTTTCTATGACAAGTACTCAGAGTGAGCACTTTAAATCTTTTTATATTTAAGTTAAAAGCAACGGGATGTCAGGTCCGAGGTGTTCTCAGTCTGGAGGGCGATCGATACCTCGCATCCTGAAATTAGGAAGACGGTTTTTAAACACCAACAGACTGACGACGCTCCGATTTTTATCACCTGCAGCTTTCACGTTTTAAAGACTTTTGGAAGAATTTCAACACATTCTGAAACTACAGAGTTTCAGCTTTCAAAGGAGACCCTATCTGTGCTTGTAGTCCATACGGTTCAGAATAGCCTGAACGTTTCTCACCCCCATGTATGGATAAATATTTGTAAGGCCGGACTTTGTTTCCTCTAAATTGTTTTTGAGCTGTTTTCACGTTTTCTTCATCCGCAGGGAAAAGATCCTCTTCCTGCTCAGACTTCTGGCCGATCATGTTCCAGGAATCGGACTCGTCGCGCGTAAGTATCAGATCTTATCTGCTGCATCATGCTCTTTACATGTCAACAAAATGATAACGTTGCAGTTCGTCAATCCACATAGAGTCCCGTGTTAAAATGTCCAACTTTACAGCTGCAGTTCCTCCAGTGTCCACTAGAGTCTGTCTCCTGCAGGTACATGATCTCTGCGTCTGTTTCTGTCTCTTTAGGTCCTCTGATGGATTACCTCCCCAACTGGCAGAAGATCTACTTCTACAACTGGGGATAAAATCTGCTGATTTTAAGTTTTTTTTAAAAACTCCACAAGGAGATGGCGAGTAATGAGCCGTCAGCGCAGAGGACAGAGACACTTTAATTCCCTAAAAAAAAGTAATAAATTAAACGGCGAGGAAATGGAGGACAGACGTCTTGATTGATTTTGTCTGTTTTTTGAAGTCAAAGAGATAATCATGAAAATATTTTCTGTAATCTTCAGTCGACTCTGCACTTCGCTTCTTGCATCAGAATCACGTTGGAGGTCTTCCTGCACGTCTATAACGTAGAGAACATTTCCTACCTAAAATCTTTGGTGTCTTAACACCTTATTCCTGTCCTGAGCGCCGCCCTCACTCCGATGTGTTTCCAGGAGAATGTGTGAACAGATTTGTGCAGCAGAGAAGTCTCTCTCAGGAGCTGCTCTGAAGAGAGAGAGAGAGAGGCTCGCTCAAACAACTCCCTGCAGCTCGTTTCCAGCAGCAGGAAGAGGAAGTTCTGATACATCAAGAGCAGGAAGTGACATCGAGGCAGATTAAAAACCTGTTCAAAGCTGCATCGTGTGTGTTTGAGTCAAAGACGACAACACAGCGGAGGTTTTCCATCTTTATTAACATACTGAATAATTTCCTTTTTTTTTTGTAACCTACAAATAAATAGTTTCATCCTTTCAGTCCATGTTTGTTTCTTTATTGGAGGTCATTTGTCCTCGAGGGTTTGTGGGACACATTAACGGGGAAAATACGACAAACCGGTTTCCAGACGTCTCGACTTCCGAGAACAGATCCATAAATAACTCGTTGAATGAAAAGTCTGCCGGAGAGAGAGAGAGAGAAGTGATGTGTGGAAGCTCTCACACTGATTTTGTTGTTTTTATCTGCCTGCATGTAATCACCGTTTTTGTTTCCTTCTTCAATTACGTCCAGCTGCTTTTGGATGAAGCTCCAAATTTATTCTAGAAATGAAAACAAACTGAAGTCCAGCCGCTTCACAGATGGAGGTCGGTACTCTTGGAGAAGGACCTCAGGCGTTCTGATTATGATTCAGCCGGATCCAAAGAGACTTCATTTGGTCACGTTAACCTTTGAACTCCCTCAGAGTATTTGGATTCTGCCTCAGAGAAGGAGTCCACTGATGTATAAATCAGGAAGCTGTCTAAATGTTTTGATACGACCTGTCTTTTAAATGATCGATCGAGTCGAGTTTGTCTGCAGTTTCTGGGGGAAAAAACACAAAACTTTATTTGATTCCTTTTTTCACTAACATGATATTAAAACATGTTTCTAGAGTTTGATTTTTACTTGAGTCGTGTCTGAATTTAAATTCGGATATTGTGACAACACGGGTATAAACTGCGGCAGCCCTAAGCTAGGGGTGACCATACGTCCCCATCTGACCGGGAGCGTCCTGTTTTCAAGCGCCGAGTCCCCACAAATAACTAAAAACACTCACATGTCCCAGATTTAACCAAAACAACAACAAGCACAGGCAGAGAAACATCACTAATGCACCACGAGTAAAAGCTCAACACTGATTGGTCTTCACATGTTTCAATCAAAGGCTTAGCTAGCGTAGCTTATCATGCTAACAGGAACACTGATCTGAGGAGCAACACTTGAGGGGGTCTGCAGTGAAAATAAGTGTCCCGATTTGAAGGTTTTAAAATATGCGTTCTCCCTTTTCTTGTGATGAAAAGTCAATTTCTCCCCGCTTATTTATCTCGTAATCTCGCGGTTATGTCGCCCGTTTTCACCGTGATGACGAGTTGATTTGACGACTTCTCGAGGAAGAAGCTGCTGAAGAAAACTCGTTTACAACCTTTAGTGTCCGAAATACTCACATCTGCTAGAATAATAAAAACCACAAATAAAAACATAAACTAAGGACGCCAGCCTTTCAAAATAAAAGCTTTTAAACTGCAGAGGGGGGGGATAAAATAAAAGGTGAGCTCACTGATAGTTCTGTTGTTTCTACAGAGCAGAGGAACCTCGAGGCAGACTTTAGATTCAACGAGAAAGACGTCACAATGAGACGACGCCCGTGGTCGTACGATGGCGATGCATAGTGAAAACAGTCGTGAGCTGGGATTGTGCGCGACCAATCGGACGTCTGAATCCAAACGGACGAACCACTCTCCGTGCTCGCTTCATGTTTATATTTACAAGAACTGATTCGACCACCTCTAAAGTCCTTAATGTACGACTCTCTAACTTCCTGCTGTCTCACTTTGTCCGACACACACTACCACGCTCGGTTTAAACTTGTGTGTTAAGAAGGCGCGATGGCGTTTTCAAACATGGGCCCCATATTAATATATGTTGGAGTCTAAGGCCCCGTGTCCACCTGGCGTTTTATTCTGAGCACAAGCGTTTTTTATCAATTGTTTTCAATGATTGGAGAGCGTTCAAAACACAAAGTGGCCGCCTGGAGAAAAAGTGCAGCGCCCAGCGTCTCTTTTCTGAGCGGGGTCGCCTTTTTTGTGCGGCTGCTCCGAGCCAAACTGTTGACATCACCGGCGCTCTTTTCCAAATATCTGATATTCCCCGTAGTTTGGCCGCCTACAAATCGTGTCTTGTACCTACATCCTCCTCGCTCCGTGTCTGATCGGGAAATAAACTTGAATATAAAACATGCAGTAAAAAGTAACGGAGCAGTGTCGGTCATACAGACTGTTGTCATGGAGACAGGACGGACGTGCAGCGCTTTTCTTCTCAGCGCACAAACGCTTCATGCAAACACTAACGAGTGCTTTTCTGCACGGAGAACACGGCGCCTAAATCACCACGACAACAGCCTGTGTCTCTGATGTCGTCTGAAGCAAACAAAGTTTTTTCTACCTGATGGTCGTTTAAACTCCAAGAACAGGGAACACGTTTAAAAACACTTCAACATCCTTTAAACCCTTTGTCATAAAAAGCAGCTTGGACGTGAAGAAGGTGACGCCCGTTTACTTAACGCCCCGACAGACGCAGAATCTCAGCTCACAACGCTCTGAAATAATCCGGAGAGTTTGCCGTCAGTGTGTCGTGTAAATAAGATTAAAAAACAGTGAACATACCAAACACTGAATGCAAACGTTGTGTTTAAATGAAGTCTATAAAAAACTGAAAATATAAACCGCTGCTGTTTTTAATATCACAATAAAACAAAGAAAAGAAAAAAAGAAGCGAGAAGTTTGAGGTTATAAATCAAAAAGCGACACTTTGATTTCTTTACACGAGGAATAAAATATCGTAGAATAACTCGGAAGTCGTATTTTTTTGAAAACTAAGACCAAAAACACGACACCAGAACTCTGGTTTTTAGAAAAGATTACACCTGATGGTTTCCATTATGAAAATAAAACTCAGATGAGGATGAGAGAATACTGTCTCACTCCTGGAAAGAAATGTCTCTAGAAGAAGAGGAGGAGCGAGGAGGACGATTTCTTTTCCCCATGCAATCCCTTCTGCGTCTCTCTCTCTCGCCATCTCGTCGCTCTGATCCTCGTGTCAGTCAGGAGGCGGGCCGGCTCGTCACGCTGATCTCACACAGGTCTCTGTGAGTCTGCCGGGGCGGATCAGTACGAGCCGTAACGATCCTGAGGAGACAAGAGAGGTAAAAGAAAGATGAGGGATGTTCCCTAAACCTCACATGGAAGTCAAATTTGGAAACATCACGTCTCAGCTGAGAGGAACGAGAACGGGGGATCGTCATGGTTACGGTCAGAGCACACTCATGTGATCGTGGTGGCGGGAAAAACGGAGAAAGCAAGAGGAGAGAAACACGGAGGAGCAGACCACTGTCCTATCTCTCCAATAAAAGGCACAAAAAAAAGCCCAATAATAAATCTTAAAAAACATGTCCACCGTTTCCAAAGAATATCGCCCTCGAAGACCCTTTGAAAGAAAACGCAGAGGAGTGTTTGATGTCCTTCTGCTGGCGAGACAGCATGACGTTCGGTCCTTAATACACAAAACAGGGACGCGCTGGTGGCACAATGGTTAGGGCGCGCGTCCCATGTGTTCAGACTCTCGTCTCGAGCGGTAGGCCCGGGATCGCTTCCACCCGTGGCCCCTATCCACATGTCATTCCCCGCTCTCTCTCCCTGGTTTCCGACTATCCACTGTCCTATCTCTGCATTAAAGGCATGAAAAGCTCAAAATAAATCTTAAATAAAAAAATAAAAATACACAAAACAATTCAGACAGATCTCAGTATTCACGGACCCGGACGAGACCACAAAGCGTTCTGCGTCGAGAGATTTTAAGTCTTGAGTTTTCATTTAGTTGAGACGCTGAGTTTCTCCACGAGCTGTACGGAGATGTTCGGTGTCACGCTTCAACTCTGGATACTTCTGAAAACTACCGAGTCTGTGGGTCACATTAAAGGTCATCACAGCGGAAAAACATGGAAACTCGTCTACCGGTCCGCCTTTCACCCGGTATCTTGACGAAGTGTCACAAACTTATTTTCAGCAATAATCACAAAACCCTGAAGGCTCATCGATTGACACCGACTCGATGCTAACTTCCAGGTTGGCCTAAAAAAAAAAAAAAATGTTATCCCTGCAGCACCGCTAGCTAACTTTGTGCCACCAGTTTGGCTCCGCCCACAAAGCGCATAATCACCGCCTACACACTCGATCTGATAGAAATGGACGAGCCCAGCAAAGAGATTAGATGTACCGCGTTGTCTCACAAGGGGGGTGCCAAAATCCACACAGACTTCACGATTCACACTTTCAGGATGTTCAAATGTCTCACCTGGATTGTATTCATGACTCCGTTGGCGAGGACCGCCATCTTGCCGGCAACAGTCTTCACTCCTTGTTTGAACTGAGCGATGTCCGGGCCGGAGGGGAGCACGCTGTCGAAGCCCGCAGCCCGTCCTGAGAGGAGGAGAGGTGGAAACAGTCTTTAGCATTAACATGAATATTTATTTAAACATGTAAGGAGCAGTCCTCCTGAAACGATCTAGATATGTTCAGGAGTGCAGATGTGGACACAGCTAATGAAGCATTTTCTTAGATTTATCACACACACACACACACACACACACACACAGGTCACCTTTGGGGTCACTGCCGTCTCCAAACAGGTCAGCTGAACTGATGGAGGTGCTTCCAGACAAGTTCTCCAGCTTCGTCTTTGCGTCATACTGAGAGCAGAAGAAAGAAAAGTCAACTCCGGAACTTTGGTTCTTAATGTTGGCCTAAATAGAAAGACGATGGTTCTCACCTCTGCGCTGCTCTCGCGACCAAAGAACATGTCCGAAGAGATCGCTTTGGCGTTGGCAAACTTCTGCCTGGCCTCGCTGGACTCTGACACCGGAGCCGCCACCTCGGCTTTCCTTCTGCTGGGCAGTCTGATTCAACACAAGAGACAGACGTTAGGAGCTGCACACAGACACAGTAAACACTGAAGACAGAAGACAGAGTGAGCATGCAGATACCTCTCTCCGATTGGCTGAATACTCGAGATGGTGACCTCCTCTTTGGGGTCGTCTTTCTCCAGAGCCCAGGAGGTGGTGAAGGAGGCGGTCCCTCCCTCAGTGTCCCACCGAGACCCAAAGCTGTCCCCCACTGTGAACGGGTTGTCCTTGTACCTTAAAGATCAAATATGAAAGATTCAGAACAAAGTCCACCCAGCTCTCGCTCCATTTCAGAGGATACTGGATGAATATGTCTTTCTATTTTTTTTGGAAGGTGTCGTTCATACTTTGGAGGTCCGGAGGTGAATCCCGGCTCGTCAAACATGTCCAGTTTGGAGCGAGAGGAGGAGGACTTGGCTCCCACTGGAGTCTCCTGCTCGATCACCTGCATCTCTGACATCACTGAGTGAGACACGGCGCTGAAACAGGAAACACTCTTAATGTTTGTGATCTTTACACACCGCACGGTCAAACACACATTTAATTTGCGTTATCTTACCTCCTGTTGCCGAAGCCCATCCCCAGCCTCTCCGCCTGCTCTCGCTTCTTTCCCTCCAGGTTCTGCATCTTCTTGTCCTCCACCTTCCTGTCGATCTCCAGCTCTTTGTAGGCCAGACGCATCGAGGCCACGCTGCAGAGAGAGAGAGACGTCAGAGGAGAGGGGACGAGAGATTCATAGTTTATATCTCTCGTTATGGAGAATCTCTGGTTTTAGAATACTAAGAAGAAAACAATCAGATCCTGTATAGGCAGCTATTTGAAGCTTAAACAGTTCAGATCATCTCAGTCTTTCTAGACACGTTGACCCGCAGAGGTGAATAAAGGAGATGAAGTTCCTTACATGGACTCCTCGGCATGTTTCTTGGCCTCAGCAGCCTGCTCCTCTCTCATCTTCTCGGCCACCTGCGCCTGCTTCTCCACCTCAGAGAAGCTCTTACTGCTCACCTTCTGGGCGCCCAGACCTTTCTTAGCCCCGAGCTGCAGCAACGAGACAGAAGGTCTGCACGTTAGTCTCAGGTTAGAGAGCATCCTCTTCAAACGGGATGACAGACACCTGCTTCACTTTAAAGTTCTTCTCATCATGAGTATGAAAAGAATACCAGCCAGACACAAACACACGTCTCAACTCGCAGCATTCGACTGATGATGATGTGGGTGAACCTGGGCTCTTCTAAGCTGAATGAAATCATCAGATTTCTCTTCTCACATGTTGTATCTTTATGCTTTTATCTTCAGACTATGTGTCTGCATAGGAGCAAGGGTAACGCCCAGATTTCCCCTCAAGGATTAAGAAAGCCTTTCTGATTCTGAAATATTCAAAATAACAAACACAAGAGTGAGATGACATGAAATGGAATCACAAGAACGAGAAAAGAGCGATTAACTAAACAAAAGATCAAATGAATACCTTCAGCCATTTAAATAATGGCATCAAGAGTAAGCCCTGAACTTGTTTCCACAGCCAACCGTACCCTTATTTAGTAAGCCGAGGTTAAGCCAGATGGAGATAGAGTGACATCATAGCAGCCCAACACTAACACCGATATTAATGAAGTTAAATGAAAAAGAAGAACGGGACACAGTAAAGATCGGTACCCCAACAGAAGGATACCAAAAAAGTAGGACGGTACAGATCCCTTATTTTGGAACCATTCCCAACTTTTGATGCCAATAAATGGGTATTGAACCGAACTGAACTGCTTTGTGGAAACGGGGATAATAACCTAGACATTCATATCATCGAACGTTTTGGCGTGATACAACTCCTAAAAGGTTTTACAGCAAAGCCTTGTCAGTTGTTCCTTGACTTGTGATGTACGACCTTCACGACCTTGAAGGTTTCACATCATTCTGCTATGAAAGGAAGTTTTTCTAGCAGCTAACGTAGCCTGGAGCCTGGAGGAGAGGCAACCAGCTCCAGAGGTCAGCTGAGTTTACCTCGTTCTTTTTCCAAACCCTTTGTATTTGAAAGCTCAGATTCTATAGACAGACTTCCCACAGCGCCCTCTAGAGACCAAAGACGTCATTCACTTTTCCTAAATGTGCAGCGTGAGTGCTCCCCAACAACAGGAGACACATTGTGATGCTTTAAATCCCTGACTTCAGTCCCTACGTTGAGCAGAGTGTCCGACATGTACTGCAGCTCCTTCAACAGGAAGTGAAAGTAGCACTCACCCCTTTCTTAGCAGTCATGGGCTTCTTCTTTCCGATGATGGAGGGCCTCACATCTGCAACACAAGTGAGGGTTATTTTCCATCAGCTAGATGTTCTCCAACAGAGCAAGAAACACACACACACACCATCTCTGAGAGAGAAGTCGATACAGCCGAGCGAAAGTACGGAGAGGAGGCGTGGCTTCTGGTTGTTAATTCTCAAACTGAATATGCTCGATGAAGGACAGATTCAGCCCGAGAACCGCAGCTTTTATTAACCCCTCTGGGAAGTTTGGATACTTCTCAAGAGTCAAAATAGTGATCCCCTTGATCTGCGATGTTGTGCAAACATTAGAGGGTATGGTCATCTGTGTCTTTAATATCTTTTGAACACTGCATGCTGGGAAACGGTGGATTGCCACAAGTGAAGAAGTTGAGGGTCTCTCAGGGTCTTGTTCAAGGGTAAGGTGAACCGTGGCAACGACAGGCGGATTGGTACAGAGTCGGCAGTAAGGTGACGTCTTCTATGTAGGTCAAGAACAATGTCAGCGAAACCCCGGGGGGGACAAAAACCTTTTAACCAGAGATTCATGGAATTACTCCAGCAGCTGTCAAACCCCTGACGTGAGTCAGTCAGGTTTGCATTTAGAAGTTTCTGCATTGTGAGAAAAAGAGTGACTGAAAAGACTGACAGAAAAAAAAAGACGGACACTTAAAATAATATTTCTCTCTGCATAGCTCTCATTGTGAGGAGTACAATTAGAGTGCTTTGAATTCAAGCGTCAGTCAGATGACACCTGAGAATCACCGCCACTGTGACACTGTGTGTCGTCTAAATCGCTCGCAGTAAAACACACACCGCCTGCAGGAATGTACCACAGATGCAGACAATGGCTGTTCTTTTTGACACAACGCAGCCGTCTCGGTTTGCTTTTGAGAACTGAACGCCGAAGGCTTCACGCAGCCTCTCAGGAATCACACGCAGCCGTCTCTTGATGGCGCTCTTTCCTGTGCGTGATAAGCAAGGCAGGGAGGCGGCCGGTGAGGTGTCAGTCAAGCAACACAACCATGCGTCTGAAGCGCCAAAACCAGCCACCGCAAACAACAACAAGCAGCAGCAGTAGCTCCGCCCCCATTAATCACCTGTTGCTGTCCGTTCAGCGTCGCTTGATGACAAACGCATGGAGTCCTCTACGGGACAGGACGGACCGGTCACACATCAGAATCCAGAACAGGTTCAACAAAACATTTATGAAGCTCTTTCTCAACAAGGTGTGAGGAGGAAGTAGGTCAACAATACAGTGCTGGTTGGATTAAGGTCACTCATACTGATGATGACACTTTAAGGAATGTGTGAATGATTAAACAATTCATCAACTGAATCTTCTGTCTTTGTGCGGACAGTGATGGCGAGCAATTAAAAGGATAAACGAGTGACTGTTGGAGCTCAACCTACTGAGAAATACATCGGACTAAAAACTGAAAGACTCACGAATACAGAGGCTGTGGAACGAGACTGAGACGAGAATGTGCCCTCTGAATGAGCACAAACGTCAAACATGAGCAGGGGATTGCTGACGACAGTTCTTGGGTCATGATACGAGCCGACACACTCACCGAGGGAGGCTTTGGGGGACGTGCCCAGACCGTCGATGCTCGGTCCGTCCTCTGGAGCTACAAAAGGCCAAATAAGAAGTTTTAGTAACACAAGACATAAATTATTAAAATGTTCTACAGCTTATTTTGTACGTCCTCTTGAGCTGATACTTTAATATATTTAAAGGTCACATATCCTCCTCCTCTTCATCCAGTGTGAATAAGTCTCAAAGCTCCCCAAAACATGTCTGTGAAGTTTCTTGTTCTAAATCTACTCTGATCCTGTATTTGATCATGTCTATAAACTCCTCTATTTCAGCCCTTCTCAGAACAGGCTGTTTCTGTGTCTGTACCTTTAAATATGTAAATGAACTGTGTCTGACCACGCCCCCTCTCTGGAAGGGCTTGGGTGTACTCAGGCTTTCTCGCTCCATGTCCTATTGTTTACTGTGAGAAGGCAGACTCAGAGGGGCAGAACAAACACCTAGCTGTGGGAGTGTCACCGACCTGGGGGAGGGGTTACTGCCCTTTGGAGATTTTTCCTTCATGACATCACAAACGGCCTGTTTGAGTACACATTTTCTGAAAAGTGGAGCAGGCAGAAGATGGAGAGGATGGACTTTTCTCATCATTGGGGGGTCATCAGAGCCTGTTTTAAAATGCTTAAAACACAGGGCACTTCTTAGCTACAGTCCTCACCCCTCCTGGCTGCTGGTTGCAGGATGAACTCCAGGTCCCAACGCTATTTGATGCACGTCATCCCTCACTCTCTCTTCCCACATTTCCTGACCTCTAAAGCTGTCCCATCCAATAAAGGCAAAAAGCCCCCCCGCCCCCCACCAAAAATGGCTAAACAGTTAACAGGTTTGTTTGACCCACCGTTGTCATCCTGGCTTTTGGCCGTTGTGTCGGTCAGCTGGGAGGTAATGGCGGATCCGTTCAGCTCTGACGACTCAGAGAACTGCGCCATGCTCCAGTCATTAGCAGGCTGAAAATGAAATTGATTAAATGTTAGTACGTATTCATTGTTGCTTGCAAGCCGTGCTTGGAAAGAAAGCTATGCAGACCAATCTGGCCGTGCTCCCTCTTTAGGTCATAATGTTGCATTTGAAGGAAGCGGTGGTGTACTGTTCAGTAAATAAAGCTTGTGGAGAGCACTTCACAACCTTCACTGAGAGCTAGACTACCGTACTGTAGCTAATAGGAGTGCAAACTCCACAAAGAGGAAATGGTTGATAATAAAAGAGCGACACAGCTATACAGGAAACTGCACGTTGTGGATTTCAAAGTGAAAATCATCAGACAACTTGATTCCTAAAACAGACGGCGCCTTATATACCGGTGCGACTTATACTCCAGATTTTACGGTACTTAGTTTTGTCTTCTTGCAGGTATACTCCATGTGGTCTTTCAAGGACAACAAATGGTCGCTCAGTTTGTACTTGTATAAAAATATTTGTTTCTACTGTGAATTATAAAAAACATTATTCCCCATATTTTTGTTATTAAACTCTCAAAAATCTGTCCCAAAAAACTACGGTTGAAAGAAGGGATGTAAGGCTCACATTGGTACTCTGATGTTTAAGAAAACAAGTATTGCAATTCATTTTTCAGAGTGTGCTATCTATTTATGCTTCTCTTGTTTGATGCCCTGCGTCTCGAGGTGCATTTGTGTTTTCTGGAAAATATTAAAAGGAATCTTTTTCAGTCGTCTCATAATTTGTCTTTAGTCTCATTTTGTAAAATAAATGGTGAGAGAATCGTATCGTGAGTAGAGTGAATCGTTACATTTTTTTACAGAGAAAATAGTTCCCTTCTTTGTGCTGTTTTTATTGGGGGAGGCAGCGGGAGAAAACAAACCTGTGTGTGTTCAGCAAAAAAGTCTGCCTCTTTCTTCTCGGGGGCTGCAGGAGCGCTTCCTGCAGAAGACTCGATCCACAGCTGAAGAGAAAGAAGAGGAAGAGGGGTGTCATCATTTATCGTGAGGATTACGCGCCCAGTGGACTCTGGACTAGAGTTCGATCTGAGCGAACACGGCTCACACACTGATAATCACTTTACAGCTCTTATGTCATCGCTCAACGATCCAGCAGCAGACGACATGTTTCTGTATCTTTGATAAATGTTGAGCTAAGCTCAGCTGATGTTACCTCCTGAAGCTCACTGTGCTGAATCATAACGTGTGTGTGTGTGCAGTAAAGAGAGAGAGACACACACACCTTAATGTTCCAAAGTCAATAAAGATTCATATTAAGAGTTTGTTTATTTAAAACAATCTCAGCCAGGGAACAAACTTGTTGGAGCTAGAATTAGAATTTATAGTTAAGACATCTTGACCTGATATCGGGGTATTTCTGTCACCTACGCGGATTATCAAATTGATATCAATCCTGACCATAGACAGACAAAGCCTGAGTGAGGTCACCCGTCTGTTCCTGCAGGGGGCGCTGGAGTCCCATCGATGGCGGTCTCCATGCTGGAAATGCTGTCTCAGTCTAACTTTCAGTCAACCTAATGACAGGCTGAGAGCTGGAGCTGAGGCGGGTTTTAAACCTCCTGACAAACTGTTACACCGCGCCCACCTGTCAATCAGGTCAGCTACACGCCTTATTGTGAATAACTCTTATCCTTCATGAAATCAAAACTGATGAGTCATCAAAACATTCACCTCCCGTACAGTGTGTGTCCATCGAGACATGAGCTAATCACACCTGTTTGTTTTTTTGAACCAGGCTGTAAACATGTTAATCTCTGCTGTAAAAACAGGCTTTTTAGAATGGGTGTGTATGTGACTTCCTGTGCTTCTGCAGCCAGCCTCTAGTGGACACTCGAGGAACTGCAGGATTTTAAATTTCTGCATCGGCTTAATTTTTCAACACCTGAGATTGCTGCTTGACACAAAGAATCAAAGTTGTGTTGAAAAACCCAGCCATTAAGTAATGTGTGATAAGAAAACGAACAAGCCAAGTTTTCTCACTTGACTGAAACTCACATCTGATCCGTATTTGGACAAAGCGGTGTTGGCTTGCTGTCGAATCTTCTCCCTGTACATCTGGGCTGCACGACTGTTGTACTTGGCGTTGGTGTCGTTTGTGGAGCAGCCATGTTGGCGGAAGAATGACGTCTACAGACAGAAGGAGAAAGGACGTCACCGCATCAACAAAAAAAAACACAAAAATCCATCAGAGAAGACGAGCTGATAACATGAACATCCAAGACTTCAAAGCTGATTTCACTGCAGACAATTTTGCACATCAGAAATTTGATTTGGAGTTTTTCTTGAGTTGTCTCCTCATCTCCATCATTTCGAGTAAGAGGGTGACAAAACTTCTGCTGAGCTGTCTTGATTTAGTTTTTTTTTTATATATATATATTTTTGTTTAGAAAAATGAAAAGCTATTCATTTACATTTTGTTTGGGTCTTAAAAAGTCTGACATTTTATTTAAAAAAAAAAGAAGTTTGCAGCACTCCTGCATTAGTGAGGCATCTCCATCCTTCAACCCTCAGAGCTTCAGACATCATCATACTTCACTATTAGCACAAACTAAAAAAAACTACATCGTGCATACGTGCTGTTAGACTTAAACTACTTCAGGAGTGTTTGCATGAAGCGTTGCAGCGCTGAGAAGAAAAGCTCTACACGTCCGCCCTGTCTCTATAAGGTGTGTAACAGCCGCTGTATGACCGATGCTGCTCCGTTACTTTTTACTGCATGTTCTACGGGGAATATCATACATTTAGAAAAGAGCAGCAGTGACGTCAACAGCGCCTTTCTAAAAAGTTGAAGGGTTTTCCACTGCAGAGAGAAAACGATGCTAGGCCCTGTGCTTTGTCTTATCTACATCTTTCTTTTCTTTGTCATTGTACATGTACAACAAAATCTGGTCTCTGGGCAGCCGTCTGCTGCTGCGGACGCTCTCTCCTCATTGATAACTATTGAAAAAAAAAAAGACGCTGGCGCTCAGCCAAAAAGGCTAGGTGGCCAACGGGGCCTTAGGCATCCACAGGTTTACTCCAACAGTATTTCGCTGTACTTGCACTGTGACAATAAAGATATCGTATCAGGTCTGACCTCTGTTCATCTCAGAGTCATTAGTCTGACTTACAGCATTGGCGTTGCCTCCGACCTGCATACATCTGAGCTGGAACCAGTTCCAGTTGGAGTCTAACTCGGTGGACCTGAGAGGAAAGAAAAGAACAAAAGAAAGTCAGCGCTGCAGAACGTCATGTACACCGTGTCGATACAGATTCTCAGGTAAAGTGCAATCATCCTTTCAGTCAAGCTCCTCGGCTCATTAATCTGTCACTGGAGTATTCACCATGACAGCTCTGATCTTTGTTTAGTAACACTGAGTCTTACCTGATGAAGCTGAGATGAACTCCCAGGGAGCGGTGGATGCCCGAGCAGTCGATGCACAAGAACACGCCGTAAGAGATGCTCGCCCAGCTCGGGTTTTTGGCTGCGCAGTCAAAACATGCCTGCAAGGAAACAGCGTTTACACAAACAATTATTACACGGGGCGACTTTGATGAAATCTGTAACGAACATCAACATGTAAGTGTTTGGCAGTAACACCATGAACAATATGTATACTAGTGTGCTGTAAAGTTGATCAATTGATTAGAAAACTAAACACTGCTCATTTATTTTGAAAAATAACTAAACGTTTTGGTTTAGGGTTTTGGGAAGTAGCGCAGTACGGTTGCCAGTTCCAGTCCCGGTGAGGTACCCTTGAGCAAGGCACTGAACCCTCCTCCACCACCAGCTCAGGAGCTGGGCAGCCCGCTCGCCGTGGTCAGCCGGGCCACTCTAACATCTCTCATGTCCATAGAATCCTGTTTGCGCACGTGTGTATATTTCAGTCTATGCTTGTAAATGTAATTTCCCCTTGCGGAATCAATAAAGTAAACTCTACAATTCACTTAGCAGACGCTTTTATCCAAAGCGACGTACATCAGAGAGTAAGTTCAACACAAGCAAGGATCTAGAAAGAGCAGTGTCAGTGAGAGCAAACGATCAGCTTTGAGTCTGATTGGACACACAGGTGCTGACAGGAAGTGACCAGAGGCAAAGCACAACATTGAGGGCAGTTCTTCAGTATAGAAACCATCTTATAAGTCATCATTATCAAACAAAAACCATCGTCACAACCATCATCCTCATCAATGATATTGAGACCATCATAATCGTCACCATTAAGGTCGTAGGTATTCATGAAAGAGCTGGGTCTTTAGTTGATGTTATGCTATTAAAAATTAAACAATATCACTACCCCTGTTCAAGGCCCCCAAAATTGGATAAGTTTTTGTTTTTAATTACCAAAAATTGCAGACAAACTCCTGCACGCTGTCTTTGCAACGTTTTGTCGCCATGACATTACAAACATATTTGTCCAAATTCGACATTGTGCAGGAGTTTGCCTGCATGTTTTGATGGATTCATCATTCATCCAATCCTCTCCTACCGTCCTGTTTTGTGAAATAGATGTAGTTTTCTGAAGTTTCTGAAGTTTCTGACCCTATAGATCAGTGATGGGCAACTTTGGTCACAGCAAGGGCCACATTCATTTAATTCTGACTGCCAGGGGGCCAAACTGTAATACACAAAAACGATAACAGTCAATTATGTCTCAAATTTAACTCAACATGTACCAGTGATCAAATATTATTATGGAAATATTTCTGGTTTTCATGATTTCATGACAGATTTTGTCATGTTTTGATATATAAAAATTGACCTGAGGGCCACATTCAGGGTTGACGAGGGCTGCATGTGGCCCCGGGGCCACCAGTTGCCCACCCCTGCTATAGATCATTCAAATAACAGAGATTGTATCGTTTTGACACCCGAGCGAGCCTGGTGTGACTAATCTGGAGAACCAGGAAAATTCAGAGTGGGCAGAGCTGGTTGTAGGGCTGCAAGGGCCGGAGTAAAATGACACTAAATAGATCATACAGGCTGCATGGTCTATATATAGTACTCATTATTCGAGCAGCGTGCCACAATAGACAGTAATGTTCTCGGACAGGCGAACTGGCGTGGTCGGGGAGGTCTGTGTCTGACTGGAAGCACAAGCTTAATATTGGTTCCGTATTACGTTTGTTCCCTGACATCGGTCGATCCCGCCGCCCCAAGGAAGTCAAGAGGCGGTGAGGTGGATAATAAAATAAGAGCAAAGGAGGCGCTGAAGTGTGACCGGTTGTCTGTCAGCCCTGTGATTGGGCGATCACCCAGTGGCAGGAGGGATCGGGGCATCCCTAAATAAAACAGCCTTGAATTAAAGATGACTTAATTAAAAGACTTGTTGTCTTGTCATGGTAAGTAAGTCAAGTGAGATGGTCAATGTGATTGATTGAAAAGAGGATATGTCAATAGAGCAAAGGTTGTAGTCTTTTAGGGTCCAAAATCTGGATTAATACAAAGAAGAAAACAGCTTCTGATCGTGCCTGACAGAATAAGATGAATCCAAACGTGTTATAAGTATAAAAGTATAAAGTAAAAGTATAAAACCTGATGTAAATTCATATTACAGTGAACATATGGCTGATTCAAACACAGATTTAAAATGTTTTTACTTTGAATATGGACGGTCATAGCTTCTTATAATGTACACACACTTCCCTCTATAAATTTAAAAGTCAGTTTTATTTATATATTTGTCCTCTTTAAACGTTGTGTAGCGTTAGCTTAGCTTTAGCCACCTCAGCTCACATCGTATACGTGGCCTTTACGTTTGACTGCTTCAGCGGTGTTACGACAAGAAATGCATCCCTGTCGAAAATCGCATACACATTAGGATAATTCAAAATATGGCAGACAGAATCACTATAATGCCGAAATTAAAATCTATCATTAAAATACAACACTGCCGTATTTTGCATCCCCCCCCTTAAAATGTACTCTACAGTCTCTTTAGGATCAACACTGTTTGCAGCTCATATTTACGCAGGCTAATGAAAATGCGTCTCCTAACGAGTCTACAGAGTAATAAGGACACTTTAATTCATTAAGTATAAAGTTGTCATACTTTGCCATCACATTTCTGCCCAAATAAGTAAGATTTATACCGTTTTTTAACACTTCCGAGAGGTGTAAGAAATTTTTTGGCAAGGGTGCATTTCTCGGCATAACACCGGCAAGCTAACAGCCGTTAGCTCTGTGACCGTTAGCTCGGCCCGGATACGTCGCTGATGAAGCTGACGGACAAACCGCCGGTGTTGACAACATGAACAGAACAAAGATTAGCAAACAAACACCTCGTCGTGTTCGCTCACCTTGTTCGTGGGGATGGATCTCAGTCTTTTGAAAATAGTCAGGATTTCAGTCTTATTTGGTTCCGTAGCCATCTTGCCACTCTGACAATTTCCATAAGCTGACGTCAGTACGGATCCCCGACTGCGCCGAATTTAAAAAAAGCGAACGCTCTCAATCGACGTTTGTTACGCACACAAACCATGACACAAACGCAAAATAATGATTTACAATCCATTTCTAAATGCTATTGGTTCATTAAAATTCTTATAAGAGGCTTTTTGTGCGTTGAAAAATCGTTCTTTTGTCAGCATTTTAAATTAAAAAATGGGCATTTAAACTACTAAACATTTCACAAATTACTCCAAGCAGCATATTTAGATGACGACATAAAACATTACAACCAATCTGACCAGAAAACAATACATAAACATATACTAACGTGAAATAAACTGGCAACTCTCATTGGTTAGTCCTCTCCTATACCGCTCAAAAAAATCAGCTCTAAGCTCTTAATAGGATCGGCCCAGCAGCAAGATTAGTCAGAACTAGACTTTACACCTTGAGTATCCCAAGGGCTGCCAAAAAGATTGTTGCACTTAGCTGGTTTTATTCTTGTCTTTTAGAATTAACATTTGCGGTTCCTCCTGTACCTTTAATGTTGCATGTGGTGTACCCCAAGGTTCAGTTTTAGATCCCCATTTCTTCTATGTAGGCTATATGCTGCCTCTTGGCAAAATTATTCAGCTCCGCAAAGTCTCCTTTCCCTGCTATGCAGAGTTGATGCAAATATACCTTCCTTTGAGACCTGCAGGACCCAAAAAGCCCCAGTGGAAGAATGGAATCCCGTAGCGCGGCGCAGTTTGACAGTAGCTATCTTAATTTATCAAATGGAGATATAGAGAGTTATATGAAGGCTGTGTCAGGTTAAACTGGCGATGTGTAACCACACACGCAGGCATCAGCACAATAACCTGCAAGGAGGACTGAAGGCTGATGTTGTTAGCAATGCTAATGATTGCGATGCTCAACAAAACCCAGTTGTCATAATTTACAGATGGCCAAATTCAACCCTGCTGCACTGTTTTTTGGCTCACTTCCCTTATTTGGTCCAGAATGTGTTGTCACCTACAACGAACCGAACTCTGGTGCACTAGGAAGCAGACCGAGACCCCCGTTTTTAAGCGGACCAGAGTTCAGTTCCTCACCAGGGTTCGTTTGAAGGTTCACACCCCCTAAACCAAACGATCTATCCGAACGGCTTAGGTGTGAACGCACCCTTAGTGACATTAACTGTTGGCTGGCCCAAACGTTTCTTCAACTCAATAACTCAAAATTGAGATAATACGGTGTTCAATTCACAATTCACCCATCCTATCAAAAGCGGCCTTAGTGCCTTAGCAGCTAATATCACTGCCAGAAACTTGGGAGAAACATTTGACTATAACTTCACATTTGAACCACATTCAAATAAACAGTTGTACGGTCATGTTTCTGTCAATAATGCAATTATTATGTTTTTTGATTCTCAAATCAACAAAGATAACTGGTGGCATCTTAATGTGGTTTGGTCTGATTGTGATTATTTCCCCGTGCCAGTTCGTCTTGTACCTTGTGTCAGCGACGTTTCCTAATGTTTCTGAAACCCTTTTGATTCCAACTGTTTTTATATTTTTTGACCTGAAGTTTTCTGATAAAAATAGCGAAGTGAAAAGTGCAGTTTCCACTCCAAGATGTTGTTAAGTTGACGTCGAAAGATTCTCCTGCAGCCACGAGTATCTATGTCAAGAATGTTGAATTTCTCCTCTTCACAACAATTGAGACTCGGGTGCTGCAAAAGAAAAAACCTTCCCCTTTACTTCAAAGGTAAACCTGAAGTACAAGTACAGGGCCAAGTTCACAAAGCCTCCTAAGTACAGAGTCTCTCCTAGAGATAAAGGTCAAAGGCAAATCAGTTTCTAAGAATTCCCCCTTAAAGTTCAGGCTAGATCCTCGTAAAAATAAAAGTTATTCACAAAGAGTCTTAGCCCTCCAGGGAGCCTCTGAGGTGTCAAACTGTGAGAAGGACTTTTAACAGGATGAAGAGTTTCTCAAGCTGAGGAGGGAACAGAGAAATGTTCTTCAAACACTACATGAAGAATCTCATTGACTCATAGTCAGACTAAAGAGACAATAAGGATTCATGCAGATATTGTAATCCCTCTCTGACTTTGTTCAGTGTAAAGTGAGACATGCTTGTTGAGTTTCTCTATACGTGGGTTACCTCCACATGTGCATCAATCACTCTTAAGACTCTTAAATGATGATGTAACAATCAGCATGTGAATCAGCTGCTGCACAAGTGAGCAAGTGACTTTAAAAATCTTGTAGGTGTTATACATTCAAAGTACGTCTTATTGTGTATCGAACAGAGATGCTAATTTCATAAATTAATTACACAGGCGGCTGTAGAGTCGGTTGTCTCTCAACCTGAAGGTCAGGGGTTTGATCTCCAGCTCCTGCAGCAACATGTCCGATGTGTCCTTGAGCAAGACACCTAACCCTAATTTGCTCCCGCTGCTTCACCTGTGTTGATGCTTGTGTATGACTGGGATTAGTTCCTTCCGATGGTCACTTTGCAAAGCAGCATCTACCTTCAGTGTGTGAATGTGTAGGTGTGACCTGTGGTGTAAAAGCTCTTTGAGTAGTCAGAAGACTAGAAAAGAAATATACAAGCTCAAGTCCATTTACCATTTACAGTGTCATAGATTCTATGATTGGGCCTGATCGATTTCACTGTCAGTCTTTGCTCAACCAATCACAGCTGTTGAATAAATGTGTCATAGCAACGAGCTTGACCATGCCTCCTCGCTAAGTTTCTTTCTCTTCCTCGCTCTGAGAGTCTCTTTCATTACTTCTATTCTCTGATTTTTTTAAGCGAATTTAGGAACTCTTTAAGAGGATTTGCCGATGAATTTATCAGCCTACATTCCAATTGGTTGAATAAGGAACAAAAGCAAATCTCAAAGAAACTCTTTATCTCCGATTATTCATTAGTCATTTGCGTGTACAGTAGTTTCCAAAAATGGAGACTCGAGCAGGGATCCGGTTATTCCTGTTTGGCGAGGCTGAAAGAATCCGCCTCTCCAGTCGCAGAGGTTGAAACATACTGTAGGAGCTTTTTACACAGACAGAAAGAGTCAGACACGATGGAGGCAGGTGCGATCATCCTGCTGCTGTTCGCTTTACACGGAACCGCTTCAGCATCCAGCTTCTACGGAGGCAGCATCAGCTTCAGGGCCCCAAAGGAAAAGGCCGGGACGTATCAGGTACACAATGTTTAATCACCTTCCTCCTGAAATTCATCTTTATTTTTTATTTTAAAAAAACTGCAAATGGATTCAAACATTGGATTTTGTGAGCTCATCACAGTCTCAGCAGACGAGTCTGGTTCTGCCTCTCGTCTCCTCTGTAACTTTGCTAAACGTTTCCGAGTGCTCAGAGTAGATCAATGTTGGATCATTCTAGACAGAGGCGCTGCTTTTCAACAGGCAAGTCAGGCAGCCGCTCAGGGCTGACAAACTGTGCATAGCAGGGGGTCAAAATATGCAGATTTTGAAATGACAACTGTAAGAAACCTCCCTAGGGGGATGCCATCTGACAGCACTCAATTATGAATGTTGCTAGTCTTCTTCTTCTTCTTCGTTGGGTTTTAAAAATGTTGCTAGGCCAGCACCAAATATGGGGATGAGACCTTGAAAAACAACTTCTGCTGTGGTTACATCACGGTGTTGGTTCTTTGAGTTTGTGTTATTGTTATTCATATCTATATCTTGAAATTGTACTTGAAAAATGTTCTTTCGTTGGTGTCAGATTTTTTATAACATTATGGCTGTGAATGCTAGTTTGAGAGGCTAATGTGAATTTTTTTAGACATGTTTTGGGGAACTCTGAGACTTATTGAAACTGGTTGAAAAGGAGGAGATTTGTCACCTTTAAATTTAGAGTTTCAGCTTCCTGGTACCTGCTGTCAGTTTGGTCATTTATCTGCATCTTTCTTACTGACTTTCCTTCTACAAAATGATCTAGGCTATATATTTTTTTACAACCGGCTGAGAGAAAACAAAGAGAGAAGAATCCAAAAGAAAGAAAATCAAAGAACATTTCTGCTCTTTCTTTACACTCTGTCGTCTGTATTGTCACCGAGTAAACCATCGCTGCCTTTGATGACATTTTGAGCTGTGATGCTGACAATGTTTCCATCCCTGTAGGTGACCCTCCATCACAGACAGAACGGCAGAGGGTCATGCAGTGACAAGCCGTCCTTCCAGTGCGACGGTGGAGTGTGCACCAGTCTCGATTCGTCCGAGGTCCTTCTAACAGATCAGGACAGCATGGGACAGGACAGGTGGTGTCAGTCTGAAGCGCACACGACAGCGACCCTCTCCACCAATCACAGCTCCCTCTCTCTGAGGTAAGACCAGCTCACAGGAACCGAAACGTTCAGACGGATTTTACTCTCCTCAGAGATCAGGACTGAAGGTAGTGATATTGTTTGCTAAGGGACTACAGATGTAAACTAGCTATCTATAAGCTAACTCTGGTACAATGCATCAAATGGCAACCTTAAGCCTTTCATGCATGAGTTATAAAGTCTAAAAATAAAAAAATAAAATCAGGTAGCCAGATTTTTTGAACGTTATTATTTTTTAGTTCTTCGGACAGTATTCTTTTAAACTTTATCATTCTGAAGAATTTACAGAAGTGTCCACCAGATTAGCAAGGCTACAATGCATTTCCATCATAAGCCTTAAATAAATACTTTTATTCATTCGTTTTTTAGTGCATAAACAAAATAACTGAGCACACATTTTCTGAAAAGTGGAAGAGGTCAAAAGACATAGAGGATGGACTTTTCTCATCATTGGGGGGTTTGTAGACAGACTAGAGACACATATTAGAGTTAGAGAAACATGGTGAAGTGGATTTTGCATCATCTGTAACCTTTAAATGATTGTGGGTGTCTCAGCTGTGGGTGTATCCTGAATGTGGTTTGCAAAGAGGTTGAGACAAAGGGTTTTGTGAAGGGTTGGGGTTAGTGAAGCAAAGTGATGACTGAAATATCTGCAACTCCTGCAAAAGTTTGTACTCTGCAGAAATGGGATGTCAGCTCTTAGAAAGAAACTTTGAGTCGTGGAATAATTTGTTTATGATTATTAACCAAGTCTCATCGCCATCCTCTCAGGGACTCTGGCTGCTGCTGGGCGTCAAATGTGGAAGGAAAAACAAACTGGACGTCTTCTGTTGAGTTGGACCTGGGGACTCGATCTGACACACAAGAAGTCAACAGTTGTCCTGTAACCACCACCGTGTCCTCTTTACGGTACACAATCTTTATTTATATCACATGACTGAGCTCTGCAGGTAACGCAGAGTACAAATACCACCTGATACTGATGTTTCTATCAGATAATAGCAAATGTCAAATAACAGTCATGCACATGCAGCTTTGATTAAAGTAATTTTTTTCCAACATACAAAATTTATATTTTTTGAACAGATGATACAGATTGAAAGCATAAACAAACTTAAAAACAAAATGAATATGACAACTGGTATGTTGCACAGTGAGCAGTGATTTAGGCCCTTTTTTCACACCTGTTTGGCTCGGTTAAAACAAGCTGGAGTCCTTGGGTTTTATGAAAGCTGTCAATCAAACCCTGGTGTGGACCAAACAAACTGTACAGAGACCGCTTGAAAAGGTGGGTCTCAATCCGTTCTTTTCTTGGATGGACTCTGTGCGGTTTGTTTGTAGTCAGAAAAAGAACCAACCTCGATCTGGCTCATCTCAAAATGTGAGTTTTTTGCCCTGCAGGTTTCCTCAGAACTGTTTTACGAGGGTGCGTCTTCTGGCACACGATCCTGACGGAGACAAAGTGAGATGTCGTTTCACCAAAGATGCTACAGTTCCCCAAAACTTCACTCTGGATGAGGTGATTTACTCATGATGGTTCACATGCATGATGACATCTAGTGCTTAGATGAGTTGTAAGGATCCATGACATCAGGACTTAAAATATTCATCTTTGTTTTTTCGCGCAAGCAGTTATTCAGAATAAGAAAATTCATGAACACATGCCAAGGTTTTGTGTAAATTCTAAGACATTCAACTCTTTTACTTTTCCTGTCCTCTCAGACTACATGCACACTGATGAGTTCAGGTCAGGTGGGGGTCAACGTCCACGTGTTCGAGCTGATGCTGGAGGACTTTCCCACCAAAAACATCACTCTGACCTACGCCGATGGAACGACTGTTACGCGGGAGGTGTCCAATGTGAACCAACCATCTCTGTGCAAAGTCAAGCTGCAGTTCACTGTGGAGAGTAGGTCACTCAGAAACATCAGATAAAGATTTGATAGCACGACACACCTGGGGCGATTGTCTGACACTGAAGAAAACGTTGTTGGATTTAAATGTGACATATTCTCCTCCTCTTCAGTGTAAATGAGTCTCAGAGCTCCTCAAAACATGTCTGTGAAGTTTCTTGTTTTAAATCCACTCTGATCCTGTATTTGATCATGTCTATAAACCCCTCTATTTCAGCCCTGCTCAGAACAGGCTGTTTCTGTGTCTGTACCTTTAAATGTAAATGAGCTGTGTCTGACCATGCCCCCTCTCTGGAAGAGCTTGGGTGTCTCGGGCTTTCTCGCTCCATGTCCTTTTGTTTACGGTGAGAAGGCAGACTCAGAGGGCAGAACAAACACCTAGCTGTGGGAGTGTCACCCACCTGGGGGAGGGGCTACTGCCCTTTGTGATGTCATGAAGACATAGAGGATGGACTTTTCTCATCATTGGGGGGTTTGTAGACAGACTAGGGAAACATGTTAGAGTTAGAGAAACATGATGAAGTGGATTTTGAATAATATGTGACATTTAAAAAAAGTTAATTATCCTTTTATCTTCATATGGATTAAACAGAGTTAATGTATTTTACAGAGAGCAGAGAAGGCTTCACTGTCTAAATTATACACTGAATTCGATCTGTTTCAAAATGTTGCCAACTTATTTATGCAATTGAGAAAGTCTGCAGGATTTTTTACCAAATGTTGAGTGTCTAGGACTTCTATATTTGTTGACATGGCATTGATATTGATTTTTACTGGTATCATATCAAAGTCTACAATTCTGATATTGCGACTTCGCCACTATAAACCACTACGGATGTGTAAGTTTAAAGAAATATCGTTGTTTTTCTGTCTTAAATGTCTTTTCTGTTAATGTTTCAGTTCTTTCTCCAATCCCAAACTGTGAACTGGGTCATGTTCAGCCCATGTTCCTGTCTGCAACGCCGTCACATGATGACGTGCTTTACGCCACTGTGGGGCAGACGTTCCAGATTTACGCCCAAGCACAGGCAAACCATGCAAGGTATTTCCCGATTTGTTGACCATGCATTTTGATTTGGTTGAAGGAAATATCCTTTAACAAAGACGTACGAGTCAGATTAATATCCTGTTGACATCCATCCATCCTTCTATCTTCCACTTATCAAAGCTAAAGATAAAGATAAAGATAAACTTTATTGATGCCCCGTGGGGGAAATTTGTGCATTACAAATTTGTGCATCCGGGGCCGGGTCGCGGTGCCAGCATGCTAAGCAGGTCGCCCCAGACGTCCCTCTCCCCAGCAACGTTTTCCAGCTCCTCCTGGGGGATTCCAAGGCGTTCCCATGCCAGACGGGATATATAATCCGTCCAATGAGCTCTGGGTCTACCCCTGGCTCTCCTCCTTGTTGATGACAAAAGGATATTGATGCATACATTTAACATGTTTTCCATTTTCCTGCAGCATCAAGGACTTCCAGGTGAGCGGTCCTCGGAACATAACTAAAGTGGTCAAGGAAGGAAATTTTGGAAAAGCTAGCATGACTCTGAGGTGGACTCCTCTGCAGAGCGACGTGTACAGATTCATTCCCGTCTGCTTCACTGCAGAGACAAATGAAACGTGAGTGGATTCATACACACGTGGAACAGAATGGATGATTGTTTTATTGCCATGGCATGCACGCAGAGATGTTTCATTGGATATTCTGGAGTGACTACAAAGATTATAATTTGTCTATTGCACATCAGAACTGATTTTAAATTATCTTCTTGATTCATTCAAAGCATTAAAGTTAAACTGACATTATGATGATTATTATTTATATTTCAATGTTTTGTGTTTCAGCCAATCAGAGATGAGGTGTGTTGTTGTCATGGTGACCCAAGCAACCATCATTCAAGGTTTGTCACTAGTTATTTTTTGTCTTGTTCTGTACAGTTGAGACGGTGATAGTTAGTTAGGGTGGTTTCACATCGGGAACCCGGGACCAGATCTGAGTACGCTTGACCCCCAAAGTCCGGTTCATTTGATCGGTGCGAACACAAACGTACCGTTCTCTTACCTTACTTGTAACGTACTCAGGTATTGTGACTGTGTCTACTTAAAGAGATGGTCTCGGTACTTCTTGTGTACTAGAGCACGGTCCACGTCGAGGTGTGAACGCAACCGTGCTCAAACAAGGAAGTGGACTGTTATATGACGTCATTCTAAAACTTGGAAATAAAGCACTGAATAATTCACACAAGAGAAACAAGCAGGAAGGAAGAAAGAGAACAAATAAAACAGGAAATTAAATCTGAACACTGAAATAAACAAAATACAAAATGTAAAAAGAACAAACCAGTTAACACCTAACAATGTTTTAAACTGGTAATCAAAATACCTGCTGGCCGTGGTAGTAGGCATTTGTTTGATTTGCATCCAGTTAAATATTAAAATTTATTTTTGGCCGTTTTGTGCCTTTATTGTAGAGATAGGACAGTAGATAGAGTTTGAAAAAAGGGAGAGAGAGAGTGGGGAATGACATGCGGGAGAGGAGCCACAGGTCGGATTCGAACCTGGGCTGCCTGCTTGGAGGACTACAGTCTCCATACATGGGGCCCACGCACTAACCACTGCACCACCAGCTACAAAGTGAAATATTATTAAATAATATAAATAGTATAGGCAGCTGCAGAGCTGCCCTAGGTAGGTTGGCTCAGGTAATATTGTGTCTGCGTGCACTGCTGGTGGTGTCACCGTGCAGACACACTACACGTCCTCCGAGCCACTCAGAGACGCGCTGCCCAGCCCCTCCACTTACCATACTGGTTGTCTTGGATTTTATGGTAAATCTTGTAAACATAGGATTTCATTTTACAGGAAAGGCCAGCGTTCAGTGCTTGCCCAACAAGATGACGGTGGTCCTGGAGAAAGCCTCCATGCCGGGGATCGATGAGAACTTTCTGGAGCTGAAAGACTCGTCATGTTCGCTTACCTCCAACAGCACCCACATCATGGGCACCATGTCGTTCAGCACCTGCGGCACTAAAATAGAGGTGTGTACAAACGAATCAAGTCTCCAAGATCAGATTACTTCCTAACTTATGGAATTGTATTTGACGACTAACATGCATACTTCTACTGAGTGGATAATGATCCAAATTGTGTGAACATCAGCCACTTATTGGGTTTTCCATCTTTAATTTGTCTTGCATGCAGGACAAAGGAGACTTCATCATCTTCCAGAATGAGATCAACTCCTTCGAGCTTCCCACCGAGGTTATAGTCCGAAGAAAGACGGTCAAGATTGGGTTCTCCTGCCAGTTTCCCAAGACCATCAGCATCTCCAGTTACTTCTCTCTCCACAAGTCCGACTACATCTTCACCGAGTCCAACTTTGGCAGCTTTGGCTACACGTTTGAGATTTTCCGTGATGGAAACTTTTCAAATAAGGTGCCGGCCAAAGCCTACCCAGTGGAGGTGAAGCTGTTGCAGACTATCTACATGGGCATTCAGGCTCAGTCTGAGCTTTCAAACGTTCAAGTGTTTGTTGAGTCGTGCAAAGCAACTCCTGATGACAACCCTGACAACAGCCTGTCCTACAACCTCATCCAGAACGGGTAAAGTTTTGACTATTTGATTAGAAAATGTGTCAGAAGATAACAATGTTCTTTCCCTCAGAGTGACTTGATAACATGTTTTTACCATCATAGTAAAGATGGAAAACTTGTCTCCACCTCCTCCCATTGATCAAAAGTGAAGACAGTACCCCCTCTGATAGGCGCTGACCGTGAGAAGTTCAATGACTTGTGTTCATTACGTTTCCTCTCGTCTTTTCTACTCTTCTCTGATAAGCATGACAACATCCATCAATCACCCAGATGAAGGCCACAAACTGAAACGTGATGGGCTAATTAGTTAATAAAGTTGATCTTCATACTACAAGTGTTGCTGGACCTTTTTGACATCTTCTAAGCCTTTCACTTTTCTTCTTAGTTGGCGAAGTTGTGCCAGAAACTCCCACTCTGCAACATTCATCCACAACGACCGAAACCATGTTTGAGGAAAAAATCTGGTCCCATCTGTCAACATTGTGGAGGAGTGCTTTATGACCTATACCATAGCCAGTCACTGGGGAGGGCTCCAAATATTTTGGCTTCAATGTCCCGGGAGTGGTCCTTTCATCCTTGTTAGGGCGCACACACAGTAGGCAATATGTACCATGTCTGTTCTCCGTCAAAGTCCAGTTTGTTTGACTAGTGCGAGTGCTCCGATTCATGCTTAACCACCGTACAATTCCTTGGCCTTGGCATGGTTGGAAGAGGTGTTGCCTCAGCACGGTACAGTTGCTTATGCTTATGCACAAGCACAGGCACAAATGTGGACAGCCTTCCTTTATCGTGAAAACCAGGAGTGGCTGTATCTGACTTAAATTACACAGAATAAGCCACAAAATCAGTAAAGTAGCTGTGCTGTTCTCCGATGTGTATCCCTTTTTCAGTTTTTCATTCTTTACGTCCACCTGTTTTTGTTAACTTTTCATGATCATGCTTCATGATTGTATGATGATGATGATGATGTTGTGGCCGGGTTAGTCCTGGAGCAGTGTGAGTTAAGGAAAGCGGGGGAATGGGGAGGGGAACAATCATGCTTCAGCGCGGTACGGAGGAACTGGTCGTAGTGTGAGTGCGCCCTTATTGTATGGTTTGTGGCATTAAAATGTATTTTTCTTACAGTTGTAACAAGGATGAAACACTAAAAGTCTACCGATCTGATGATCCAACTTCATTCAAATTTGAGGTTCAAGCCTTCAAATTTACGGGGAACTATGATCAGGTAATGATAACAAACACAACATCACACCAGACTTTCAGCAAAATGTTACTCTCAAAGTTGGCACTGAGCTGTTTCTGTGAGAGATGGATGAAAAAGACACTGTAAGCATGATAAAGTGTAAGACAAAATTTCCCCCTGACTGCCCTACAGAGCAAACACCATCCTTGTGCTCCAGTGTTGTTTGTCTGTATTAAACTGAACCATTATGCGGCCTATTGGAGGCAAACTTCAATCAATCAATCAATCATTATTTATGTAGTGCCAATTCATAACAAGTGTTATCTCATGACGCTTTACCACAATTCCTCGCAGCTAAGGTGGAGGTCGGAGCAGGCTGTGCATGAATGAGGATGGCGGTGGTTGTGGTGACGACCCAGTCTGATGGTGGTGGCTGAGCGTCAGGGACGCTGGGTGGTAGTAGTGCCAGATCACCTCGCTGAGAAATTGCCCCTTCATATGCAAAAATGATGCATCATTTAAAAATACAGACTGGGTATAAGCCTGAGCGCCGGAAATGTAAATAAATAAACTAGATTAGAGAAAAAGAAAGAACATAAAATGAAATATATTTGTCTTATTAAGATATGATCTGGTTTCCTTTGATGTAAGTCCTCCTCCCTGCTTCCTGACAGGTGTACATCACCTGCTCCGTCATCCTCTGTGAGATCGGCAGTCCCTTCTCCAGGTGCGCTCAGGGCTGTCTGAAGGAACCGTCCCGCCGACGCAAGAGAGCGGTGGGCAAGGAGACAGTCGGCCACTCCATTACCCAGGGTCCTTTGCGGTTTGTCAGTCAGGCTGTGCCAGAAGTTGCAGTGGATGAAGACGATGTCATGATAATGAACGATGTCATGCCTGATGTGATGATCAAGAGTAACACGGCCGATGTGATGATGGAGAGTTACACGCCCGCCGAAGGTTAATATCTATCTGTCTGTCTGTCAATTTCTGTATCGATGTATCTCTATCTTTACATTTAAATCTATCACAGCTCTGTATCACACTGTGTCCCAGCAGCACGCGACACGAGCGACCTTCAGCGACAAAATCTGCTCGATTGTATCGTTTCCTATTTGAGTGTCCTGACAAAAAAAAAAAAAAAAACTGACAACCTCTCTCACTGCATCTTCATATTTTATATGGCGAAACCAACCAATCAAATATTAGTATAATATAATATTTGGAAGTAGTATTTTCTGAATGGCTGAGTCGACACGGAAAAAATAAAATACTTTTTATTTTTTAAACTTGCGGTGAAAGGATATTTGGCTTAAGTTGGGCAGGCTGAGAATTTCCCTCCACTAGCCCATGATTCTATAGAGATATACAGCTAACTACACCACGGCCGGATGATTTTGACGTCACTACCGTTATGCTTCAGACGATCTCCGATAAACTAATCCGCGTAGCTTAATAAATTGTTTATTAACCTAATATTCACCTTAACCCAAAGATTAAACCTACAGAAGACATCATGGACTAGTGAGAGGCTTGATGCCGTTTTGTGTCCCAGACAACCACTATAGTGTCATTTAGCCACTTTTAGCAACCGCCTTTTTAAGGACGCATAAAAACTTCAAAATTCACAAGAGGGGGTATTACCTAACTCAGTTTATGTCATCTAACAAAACGCCAACATCTCTTAAGCTTAAATTAATCACAGACCTTATTTCAGGTGTCTAACCACAAACCCATTCATAATCTCCGTTGACTTTGAGAGGATAGACCCCATGGTGCTCAAATGCTTACTTACTTCAGGGTTTTAGAACTCATCCCTGTGGCGCAGGGATTAAAACATTATTATTTTTGTATTTCTATATATCTGTTTTCCTGTCTCTAACAATCTAAATTAATTTGCCTCTTCCATCTTTATTTTCTGTCATTTTTGAAATACATCTCCAGATCTACCCCATCAAAGAAACTTTTGCTCTGTTGTCTTTCAGTGTTTCCTCCAACACTTCTTAGAAAAGCTGAACCGGGTGAGGAAGGTAGGAGTATAAGGGAGATCCTCAACACCAACATCAGCACCATATTCTTTGCCACAGCTTTCCTAGTGTCTCTGGTGGTGATGGCTGTGGTCATTCGCCACTTCAGCATCAAGAGAAGAGCAGATGATCGCAAATCTCTTCTCGTTTCAGGCTGGTAGACATAAACCAAACTAATCTCATATATTACATGTTATATTTTTCCCTCTTTTAAAGACTAGGGCAACTGTTTTTCTAAAGTCTATCTTCTAATGACACATGTCCAATTTCATCACACCTTCATATTAGCCAATAAGGATCTGTTCTTCATGAGGTTTAATCGAAGAAAAGTGGGGACAGTGTCCACTGTCTCACTCTGTGCAGAATTTAAGTAAATAATTAAATCTACACAACTGCATCAATAGAGCCATGTAAATGTGATTCAGTGATTTGTATGGCAGATTCATCATACATTACAATGGAAACAGTCAAACACAACGTCTGCTTGCTAGATAGCAGCCGCCTGCAAGCTGTCACATTAGCCATGAAGAATGTATTTTTCAAAAGGTTCAATTGAAGGAAATACTCCCCTTTACAGCGGTTGATTAAAGGCACAGCCATTCAGTAGGGGGCGTTCCAAATGTTTTGGATACACTCTTGTTGAAATGTAATGTCGTCCATCTTTTCATAAAGTCTACTGTTTGGACAAGAATGTTGGAAGGTATTGCTTCAATTCTATTAAAGGTCTTTTTTTCCCTTGAGGCTGGTGAATCTTTATTAAGAGTGTAAGAAGTGTAATGACCAATATGCTTGGATATATTCTTACAGGGGTTACATATTTTCACCATCCTGCCACACCCTTTTTTCCCGTCTGCTGCACTTAAAAAGTAACTCAAAACAAACAGCATTTTTATATGGCACCATGTTAAGAAAAAGCTTTCAGTTTTCATTTAAGGTTGTTGTTATTGGCAAAGAAACAACCAAACCCTACAGTCCACAGAACCAGTTCTGCAGTAGTTTCTGGAATTTGAAAACAATCAATCTTTTGTACTGATGGGAAAACAAAATCATGTCAGATTGATTTTATGCCTCTGCTGTTAATCTGTTAACTGTTTATGCACACATTCACAGCAGTTCTTTTCAGGAGTTAAAGGTTTAATTTTTGTTAACTTAGACTTTGGTTAAAAACTTGGATGTACTTGCATGCAAATTAGAATTTGGCGTTTTGGATTTTCTCTCTCAAAGTGCATTTAAAGGTGTCTCTCTCTTGTCCACAGAGCGCCCTGCTCACCTGTTTTCAGCACTATGTAACTTTGGCTAACTAGGGCAGCAGTTCTCTCATGAAAAACTTTACGGCACTAGTTCACACAGCAGCCTTCAGCTACAAAGCAGCCAGTTGGCCCGTCTGTTCTGTTTGATAAGACGGTGAAGTGTCTGATGTAACCAGGACAGAGATAATATAAGTTTACAACGGGCGCGTCTGGAGATAGTATCTGAAGGAGATTTAGGAGTCCCCTTAGGTGGAATGTTTAAATTGAGGTGTTGTATAGGAGTATTGCCATATATGGTTGTGTAACTTGATGTTTTTATGACGAAAAGCAGATGTTTAGATGCATATAAGCAATTGCCTCTGTGTGTTCGACAGAGATCATTATTGGCTTCTTGATCCTCCTGGTCAGACGTGACCAGTGATTCTGTTTCTTGCTTAAATAAAATTATACTCTTTGAAAGCAAGTCAGTCTCAACGGCGAATTTCTTCATCATCAAACATATCAACAACAAGGAAATCCACATCAATTTTGGCGTCACGGAACAGGATCAGTTGGGGCCTTCTTCAGTGGACCACAGCTTGTTCATTATTTCCATCACTTCGTAAGTGTTTCTTTCTTTTTTTCTGCACATATTGCGGAGCTGTTTCTGTCGTCTATCGGCAATTTTGGCCGCACTGTCAAAGAACTGAAGTGCAATGATGTGTTGATGTTGGAGTAATTCTCCGTCTAAATTGAGGTTTATTGAGTTAAAAAGTATATAAATAAAGGGGAATAAAATAAAGAAGAGATAAATAAGAGAAGAAGAGATGAATAAAGTTGAAAGGTAATGATAGCATAAGCGCAACTAGTAACGAGACCAGTTAGCTAAAAAACTATGCAAGTTTAACAAGGACAGGGCCCGTATCCTCTTAACAGTAAGTCATGTGTAAATTAGACACTGAAGTGAAAGTTGGCTTTAAGAAGTAGTCAAATTTGAGTAAAAATAAAACAAAGGGGATCCCTGGCCAGGGTATTTGGATAAATTATAAACGTATAATGTAGGAAAATAAAAGAGAAGAAATAAAGATGAGAAGTGTAAAGATGAGAAGTAAAAAGATGAAAAGTGAAGATAAGGAATAACGATAAGAGTTTTGAGAAAAGTGGGAAAAAAGCGCTGAGTAAAGGAAAAAGTGTGCATTGAAGCATGCAGTGTGAAGTAATTTGTTAAAAGACAATTTGTTAAAAGTTTGACAGAAGTAAAAATTTGATAGAGGAAAATTATATATGAGTCGACTTCAAAATTTGAACTGAAATGTGTGTGCACTGCTGAGGCGCGGCTGTTCTTGGAATGTGTGTGCGCTCAAGCTCTATACAGCCTGAAGTGTTTGTGTGTGTGTGGCTGCTGGACGGTCTCTGTCTCTGTCTGTGTCTTGTCTCTTGTGTTGTGATTTGGATGGTTTTGAGAGGTCTGTGTGGTGTGAAGATGTGTATTTGATCCGGAAATGTTCTTGTATATGTGTGATTGATAAATAGAATAGATGTATTATTAAATAGGCATATATAGCAGGTGATTGGTTAAAAGGCGATTTAGTAACTTATAAGAGGGGACATTTTTGCTTCATCAGTGTTAAAAATCTATGAGCCCTTTGTTTCAGGGGACTTTATATATTCAATTTGATAAAAATCTATGAGCCCCTCAGAGGATGTTTGTTTAATCTGATAAATACACATGAGCCTAATAAAGGACGTTTATACATAGCATAAGTATATATAGTATCTGTTTTTAACAGAAGTGGAGAGACCAGCGAGGATAGTCTGTACCCATTCAGATAGCAAGATTCGAGAAAAGAACAGAAAAATTCCTGATAAAGTTTAGAACTGCCGGCTGATTGGAGTGTGAACTTCTCTTTCTGTCTGTTTGAGCGTATGTGTGTGACCACATTATGCTGCGAATTTTGTCTGTTCAAAAAGAACATATAGTTTGGTTTAAAATAGGTGAAGAAGTTGGTTTTGACTATGAGAGAATACATTTTTCTATTTGGCTGTTGATTGGGAGGATACTGTGCTGATTTCTGTGTGCGTAGACTCTGTGCACAGGGGTGGAGCAGTGATCTTAAAAGTGTGTGTGTTCTGTGCTAGTATATTACCACCCTCTAGGAAATCAACACATTCTGTTTCATTTAATGTCCAATAACTAAGTTTAGCTGAAACATCATATAACAAGACAAAGTTACAAAAGATAATTAGACACTAACTTTATGAACATCCATTGTGAGTAACCGAGTTAGCTCTAGAAATCAGATTCAAAACGGTTCTTTGTGATGCCGTTATTTTGCTTTTCTTATTGCCTTACGCCTCAGTCTCTTTATTTCCGGTCTTCACATAAAATGTGCTTTTATTTAGAAAAACTGCAAACGGGACTTCTGCTACATCGTAAAGTTATGGGAGTAAATATATACAGCTAAAATAACAACCAAGAGGAGAAAATGTTACACTTACGCTGTTTTGTGAGGTGGATTTATCTTAAAAACCTCTGTTTGGGTGACTTACTCTCTTTCAGAAGGATGCTACATGCAGCATGTTTCCATGTGTGAGCTCTGAGCTCTGACTCAGTGATGAGTGACAGGAGGATTAAATGCAAATGTAACCTTACCGTGCTTCAACTGTAATCAAATAGATATGATTGGCTTAGTTGTCACTTAATAAATCTTACTTGACCGATAAGTTTTCTTTTAATGACTCCACTAGTAAAAAGTGTACATTTTAGTGAAAGTAGGGGTGTCACAGCACCCACAACACCCACGGGTGAGATGCGCTTGTCTGTGCATTAAATGCACTAGGTTTGGACCATAGGGTTTGGAGACGATGTTAACCCTTTGACAGCCAGGTTAGACTGGAAGCCCTTGCTAAAATTAGGAGGCGGGTCCAAGAGGCGTTGCCTCACATAGAAAGCCAATTAGCTTACTCCTCCTGTTAAGGGAGTGGAGAGGTAGCCCCCTCTCTCCTTCTTCTCTCTGTGGGACACAGAGGGAAGGAAAACACACCCCCAGTAGGGAGACAGCCTTTGCAATAGATAAAAAAAAAAAAATAAAGATTACAGATAATGTGTGCATATTTACTGAATTGTTATTGCATTGTCTATATGGATTCAGAGTGATTAAACTTTTGTTTTTTTTCTTTCTGTTTTCTCTGTTTCTCTCTACTATGTTGTGTGAGAGCTAAAGGGAAGACAGACAGATGGATTGTGTCTGAACTGGATCAGTCAAAAAGGCAGATGAGGAGAGACCTGGCGGGTACTTCACAAGCACTGGAAGCTTGCGGATGACAGCATGTAGGGATCCTGAATCCAGCTTGATCAAGGCCAGTGCGGTTTTATCCACAAACTCTTTCAACAAACACCTGAACTTTTCTATCTGTGTATACACATTTTTTATAGTCAACATCTTTGATACATGCTTAGTCTGTTTTCGCATAGAGGCTTACATTGTTTCTTCTATGTATCACATTACAATTATATAGGAGGAAGTCTTGGCAACAGACTGACTAATTGAAGCATTTGGTCAATAATGGAGTATTTTTGATTTGATTGATCATTTATGGAAAAGTTGATTTGATTCAAATGCAGTTGAGTGCTGTGAATGCTGGTTTCATTGTCTGAGTATGGTCTAGCTTGACCTGGGCTATTTTGAGATGGAACATTGACATTATTTCCATAATTTTAAAGATAAATAAGTGTGATTAGATGCATTAGGTGATAAAGAAGTGCTTTTGCTTTTATAGTAAGAAGGCTTTGGTCTCCTTTGGGGTTGGCAAATTCATTCACTTTCAAGTGTGGTAACAGTACTTTCTAAATAGTTTGACTAGTCAGTTTGACTTACAATACGAGGAACTAAGAGGGTCATTGTAATGTCAAAGATGGACACCAAAATTACAAAATCAATCACTCCTGTTGATGTAGTACAGAAGACTAATCCTCTTGTTAAAGATATTCCAAAAATATCAGAAAAATGGAGTAAGCGTTGGCCTGACATTGACCAGCCTTGGCCAGTAGAGGGGACTTTGAACCCGGATGTGATCAAAACAATACAGGTACTTGTGTCTATATACAAGGTAAAGCAGAAGAAGGGGAAAAAGGGAAAAAGGCGTATGGAGAAAAGACAAACTGAGCTTGGAGTTCTGCAGTTGTTTGAAAATGAAGGACAGAAACTGTTAGAAGCTGCAAATGAAAAAAGAGGCCGCGGTATGCAAGAAATACAGAAAAATGATAAGGCAGTGGGTAAGTTAATGGAGAAGGTTAACACACCCTTCTCACATACTGCCTTAGTAAAGAAGCCCCCGCCTTATGAGAAGGAAGTGAAGTTTACTGATGTTTACCCCAGCTCCCAGTGATTATACAGAAGGGCAACTATCACATCACAGACGAGGATGAACAAATAATCGAGAAGGGAAAGGCTACAACGACCATAGAAATGTACCCAAGCTCCGACAGCAAAACATAAAAGACCCGTT